AGAGAGAGAGAGTCCCAAAATCAAGTTGTCCTGAGCTAAGCATCTCTCTTAATAGCTTTGTTTGTTCCGTTTACTAGTTAATCCATTCAATATTAAGATACCCCCACCAGGTTAGATTTAAGTCATGTTTACTGTTCCATCCGTAGCCTCACGAAATCAGAGATAAATAAAAAGGCAGCAAAAAAAATCAACAGAACATTCAAGTGAAAACCCTGAGACCTAAATTTACCATGCGTTCCAAGTGATCCTAAAATCTAGAGTCCTAAACCGGTTTCCTTCCCTTATGAAACAAAAGGCATAGCACTTAGGCACCTGTTCGTCTTGAAACTCTCAAATCCATAGATATCCAGCACACCAATCAAATGCTTTGAATCAGGATCTTGGCCAATTGAACTATTGATCTTTTCCACAATCCTGCAAAGGCAATAAAGAAAGTTTGTGGATAAATAGTGAAAGATACATTTGAAAATTGCCAGACATAGGCGGCAACCATGAGATGAAATTATGAATCCACATACCAATCAAATAATCTAGAGTAAACAATTTTTGCCAATGCATCTCTGCTGAGAGCCGCAGAATCTGGATCCAAACATTTGGTAATGGTTTCATCACGTGTCACAATCACACGTTTGCAAAGAGAATCTTCCAACGCCTTCTCATCACACCTGAAGAAAAATAAAGGAATCAGGATCTTTCAGTGCCTCCTCAAATTAGATCATAGTTAATGAAACCAGATTTCAGGAAATGAAAGGAGGCAGCTTCCCATCTTAAAGTCATGTTAGTTTGGTTATTTACTCACATGAAAAGTTCAGAAGCAGTCTTTAGATGGAACTTGGACTTTTCATCTTTCGGGACCGACGAGTCAATTTCTTTTCCTTTTATAAATTCAATATTCCCAAGGTGGAGAATAGCAGCAACAACACGAAAAATTGCATCCTGGAAAGAAAGAAATATCAGAAGACATTTTTATTAGCTGTTATCACAATTTTTACTGGAAGAAGGCCAGACACATTACCTGCTCTTCTGAACTTATCCCAACAATATCCATTGCCTTTCGTGTATCAAGATATTCCTTCGAATCATCTACCCCATCCAACTTAATGCAATTAGACTGATTCAGATAATGAAAAGTTCTTGGATCTGCCAATTTCAGGTTTTTAACTTCCTGGTTAAGGAATAAGAAGAAAATAAGAAAATATCTGGAAAAGAAAAACTTTCATGACATTGTCTAACTGAAAATAAACAAATTTTAAAAAGTTCCAACTTTAAGGGGTAGAAATTGTTGTCAAAATATCGTTCATCTTGCTTATCAGAAAATGGCCTGATCCATTGCTATTTCCAAACTCTGTCAGATTCTCAACATATCTGGCGAGAAGAATGATTACAAAATCTAAACTATCACATTAAAAAAGAAGGAAATGACATATTTACCTCTGGTGGTGCAGCACACAGCATATAGAAACAGTGATAATTTCTCTCAGGATCTGACACCTGACAAACCCGTGATCTTTCCAACAAATAAGTCCTGATAGCAGCTCCCGATATCCTTCCCCTCTGGTCAAACTGAATCTCCACAAATTTACCAAATCGACTGCAACATGATCATGGCCACAAATATGAATCAATTCGTCCGTGGAGATTCAACAGGAAAGATGTAACAGTGTGTACACAGACACAGACACACACACATGCATATCCCTACCTTGAATTGTTGTTTCTGACTGTCTTTGCATTTCCAAATGCTTCTAGAACAGGATTGGACTGCATAAAAAAGAAAACATAAAGCAAGCATATCTCAGATTTATCTTAAACCAACTTGCAGAAAATCTCTTGACAAACTGCAAGGTCTACAATAAAGCTAAACTGAATGCCACGCTAACCTCTAAAACTTGCTGCTCAACTGTCCTTCCTTCAGAAACAGCTCTGCCTCCCATGTATGCAAGATATCTCATGAGCAATTTAGTACTTTCTGTCTTACCTGCGCCACTTTCTCCACTGACCAGGATTGATTGACTTATTCCCTCATGAATCATTAGTCTACAGCCAGTTGAAATCGAGAAAAGGATTGTCAACCAAGAAACGACCAGCAACAGAAAGAAATGAAAAGAGCTTAAAAAATAGAACAGAAGGCACCTGTAAGCTGCATCTGCAACAGCAAAAGGGTGGGGGCTCAATTCTCCAAAAGCCACACCTTTATACTGTGCCATCATATGGCTATTGTACAGATGGGGTAGTTTTCTAAAAGGGTTTACAGCGATCAAAATGTTCCCTGTGTAAGTCTGGAAAAGAAAAACTCATTTTAGTACTAATGCCTACAATGCCTCCACACAACAACAGAGCACTATATTAAGAAGAAAATATGCAGAGCACTCACATATATCTCATTTATATCATATCTCGATTTCAGATTTTGAAGGACACCTGGTTCATGCAAATACGCTAGCCTCGTCATATCATCCACTCCGGAAGGTGGAGCTTCAACATCTTTCGGATATGCTTTTGAAACTTTAACAACGACCTGAAAATTCTCGTGATAATAAAGCTTAGAAAAGTCAAATTTGCATTGAGAAAAATCGGCATTTCCATCTTGCATGACATTTAGGAACACGCATAAAGGTTGGATTCAGCATAAGAAAAAGGTTGCTATGGTAACAACAAATTCACTTAATAGAAACCTAAAGAGGTAAATATCAGGAAAAAGAAAACACAAAGTTTGTGGACATACCGTCTTCCCTGAGGTGCAGTGGACCGTTATGTCTTCCCCTTTAACCTCGATAACTTCACCATCTATCCATGCCACATCCGGATCTTCTACCCAAACAAGAGCACCAATTACAGCAGTGGAGCAAGTCTGCAGATCCAACAATTGAAATAACTCTATAGTCACCAATATATTCGATGCCAAGATAGAGTGGAAGCATCTTCACCTTCATACCATGCGATAAACCAATCAGTCAATCGAATATCTACTAGAACAGCAAACTCAAGACAAAAAATATTGCAGTTACCACAAAAATATTTCAGATATCCCTCAGTTCCATGTTTGAAAATTCACATCCACGATCCAAACCCCTCGAAATTATGATTGCCAGCCAAAACCCGTTGCCCTTTACCACCCCGACAGCATCGAATGGAGAAAATAAATCATCAGGCAGAAAATTCAAAACCTTGACCACCATGAAGACAAACTGTGAAAGTGTTCCATTTGGCGCTAATTTTCTCCAAATGGCAGCAGAGGGACAGAGTTAAACTAAACCCCATAACAACAAATTGAAAATTCGTAAACAAGATGTCCGGCTCCATCACTCTATAACATCGGCCATGTTTCATCGAATTCTGTCAACTATGATTCAACTGATGTCTATTAGCCCCTCGAAGAATCAGCTGAGGTATCAAACCAAAAGAGAGAGAAATCAAAACGAAAACCCCTTCATTCAATTGAGATCACTGATCAGTCAACAACAGCGACTCAGCGACCCATCGAAGAAAAACGTAAAAATTCAACCACGGGCGACGAAATCTCCGCAAAATTAAGACAAACCCGAAATCAAAAAGAGTAAGAGAAGCAAATGAAACGCGGGAAAGGAACGTAAACGGAGATAAACCCAGAAAACAAAACGTACCATTTCCGCCGGAGATTTATCGGATCAGAAACACTTTGCTTGCCACCGGATCTACGAGCAATAACACACGAATATTAACCCCAAACGATGGCAATGAATAAATTGTCCAACTTGCTCAACTGCAGAAAAACTCTGCAGCTCCCGAAGCAAATACAAAAAGAACTCAAGAAGAAGAAAAAAAATCTGCCGATCGAAACCTAGACGAATGAGAAGCTTAATACCCTTTAAGGAGAAATTTTTCAAATCTGCTCGAGAAGAAAAGAAATTGTAAGCCCCTCAACGTGTACCTTTTCTTCTTCTTCTTCTTCTCTAAGTCTACACTGTCGTTCGGTCTTTTTCTTGTTCTTTCTTGGGGATTTTCTTTTTCTTTTCGCCTCTATTTCCCCTTCGACCGTTGCAGGGATTAAGATTCTCTTTACTGTGTGATTAAGCTAAATACCAAGCGTTAATTAGGGAAGGAAATTCTGAAAATGCCCTCATTCAATCTAACAAACTACTGGGAGTGGCCCCACGTTTAGCAAAGCCCCTCATTACTCTCCATATCATAATCCTCCTGATATACAAATTTGGTATATTAAAAATATATCTTTACCTAATCTAACTTTGAGCCGTTTTATATAGTAGAATTGTTCATATTTTAGTAATATATATGAAATTTAACAAAAAAAAAAGGCGATAAAGTTATTGATCTTACGAGGAAATCCGGATTATACGATTTCTCTAAACGAGGTTAAGTAAAGCCCAATAAGAGAAGCACACGTGTCACTAATTTACACGTTGTCCGCGTTGGGTCCTTAAGTGGGTCCCGCAATATCAGCCAATCAGAGAAAAGCGTGCGGTTCACGCGTCCTGAGAGGAAGTAAGTAGGTAGGTAGCCCGTGGCGGCTTTTCCACATTTTGACGTGGCGTAGAATGAGGATGGACGGCCCTGATGACGCATTGAGGGTGCAATCGTGGCCGTCCGATGTGATCTTCGCCTTTCATAGAGAGAGATTCCATGGAAATGTGTGGGACTTACGACCACTTGAGCTGCGAACGGCAACATTTCCTCCAGGGGCTTGGGGCCTGAAGATTCAATGAAACAAATGTTCATGAAAAACGACTTAAATGGTGGTTTTTTTTTTCCTCGGACAATATCGGAATCCAATCTCAAATTTCGAGTTTTTCTGGGAGTTGTACTAGATCTCATTTGTCTGGATATCCAATCCACTGATCGAGGAGGGTGTCCCAATTTCAGATTTTTTTTTTCCAGTTTTTAAACCAATGGCATGAGCATAAGATCGGGAGACGCAGAGAGGCTGGGAAGTGTGATTCACATTTCTAAATTTTGTTGGTTTCCCTCTTTTCCTTTAAAATTTATGTTTTGTCCTTTCTAAATTCAAAACGACCGTCAATTATCATTAGATTATACTTAATGTCCTGACAAAAACAGGAATAAATTTAAAGTTCAAAGAAAGGGAATGAAAATACATACAGTACAGAGACAGTGGATAATGTACATTTTCATGGCCGAAAACACCATACAATCTCAGAACCAGAAGCGTCTGGACTCTGTTCCGCCATGTTCGCTCATGCTTCCTCTCGATCTGAACAAGTTCCTTCTGCTCCGTACCGGTCGTAACGGTCCCGACCTGTTTGGCAGAGACAACCCTCCTTCTCTTGCCCCTGCCATGCTCGATTCAGACAGTGGTCCCGAGCTGTAATACTCCATTGTTACAAATGTCGAGGCTTGCCCGTACGTTAACCGAGGCGTCGCGTTCCACCAGCTACTATCCGAGGGGGCAAGATCACCGCCCTTGAAGTCCGATGAATCAGGAACGGACGACTCTTTCTGGCTGTGACAATCCCCGATGGTCTCGTCCGCATCGTTGTATATCAGTTTCAGAGCCTGAACCACTTCGCCCATGAACGGCCTTTGCGATACCTCTTGATGGACGCACATGGAGGCGATGGCCGCTACTTTGGCCATGTCGTCAAAATCGTATGTTCCAGACAGTGAGGGATCGATCAGCTGTTCCAGCCCTTCTCGGTTCGTCAGTAGTGGTCTTGCCCAAGTTACGAGGTTTTCTTGTCCCGGAGGTTGAGACATGTCTACCGGTTTTCTCCCCGTGAGAAGCTCAAGTAGTACCACCCCGTAACTGTATACATCGCTTTTGACGAGAAGATGTCCCGTCATTGCATATTCCGGAGCCACATACCTGCAAATGTTTTTTTGTTCTAGTCATTGTATAGGGGGTTCTCAAAAAAATGATTTTTTAAAGATATTTACCCGAAGGTCCCCATGACTCGAGTAGAGATATGCCGACTTCCTTCGGTTGCTTCTCTCGCCAATCCGAAATCTGAGACCTTTGGGGTAAAGTCTTCTTGTAGCAGGACATTGCTGGCCTTGAAATCTCGGTGGATTACTCGTGGGTTCGAATCTTCGTGGAGATAAGCCAGTCCTCTCGCTGCTCCGAGGGCGATCTTCAACCGGGCATCCCAATCAAGAGGGCCTTTTTCCTTGTCATCACCTGTAAAAAAGGAAAGGATTTTTAAGAGGGTTTAGGAGATGGTGATAGCGATGAGAAGCAACGATACCGAAGAATAATTTAATTTGAAGATCGGTATAGGTTATGTACCGTGTAAATGTGATTCCACACTGCCATTGTGGACTAGCTCGTACACCAAGCACCGTGTACGGCCTTCGATGCATATCCCAATCAGCTTCACAAGATTCCGATGGTGTAATCGACTTAGCATCTCAACTTCTGCAATAAATTCCCGGTCTCGGTTCTGATTATCCCTTGTTAGCAATTTAACTGCAACTTCTGCTCCATCTTCCATAGTCCCATGATATACACGACCAAATCCACCCTCACCCAAAATCCTCTTGGAACTGAAGTTATAAGTCGCATTCTCAAGCTCGGAGAGTGTGAAGGTTTTAACCGATAAAGCACATGCCGCCATAGTGGACATGAAAGAACCTGATCCCGGGCTTCTGATGCTGCTGGATAGCATAGATCCATGGCCTGCAAAGGCAAGTACAGATTCAGAATTTACATCTCATCTTTCATTTGATTCTCCAGATGTGTGATAGAAGGATCATTCGAGTCACAAAACTAAACGGAAATAAAAATTTGAGGGAATATCGATAGAAAAGCCAATGAGGGATAAAACACACCAGATCTTTTATTCATCGATGAAGCAAATGCTGGGCCAACAGCATTTGACGACTTTCCATATTTCTTCCACTTCACAACTATAGATATAGCTCCAACCAAAACCAGAACGAGCACGAAACCAGACAAACAAATGATGGCAATCGTTCTAAAACCAATTCCAGATTTTTCGCTGACAAAGTTTGCGGTTATCGGCAGACCTCCAGCACTTGCAGTTGGAGGAATTCCCTGGAGACCTCCATACGGAATAGAAGAAGGAAGTCCTGGAAAGCAGCTTAAAAGGTTCAACCAGAATGAAAATAAGAAAACAGCAAGAAATTAACATTGCAAGAGTTTGGGCTTTTACCCGGATAACTTATGTACGTAACCTCATAATCACCGAAAAGAGACTCATTCAGAGTCAATTTCTTGTGTCGAAATCTCTCATAAATAAGAATTGCGGTGGTGTTGTCAAACTTTTCTCCAAGTGGAACCAAGTTAATATCCACCACCGTTTTCCCCTGATTTTCACTGTCAGCACTAGCACCCATTATTTTCACTTGGCTTTGTTCCAAGTATGTTCCAGCAGCAACCTCAATCTCTAACTCATTTGTAACGGGAAAAATAGAAAATGGAGCAGAACTTAGTAGAAGCTGAACTTTCATGGGGAAAACACAGCCACATGGTGAACCATGGCCATAGGGAGTTGAAGTGAGAGGCTCCACACATGTCTGTCCACAATCTGCCCATAACAGTATTATGATAATACAGTAGAACAGACCGTTAACAGTGATTATTACTCTTTGCCTTAAGTCCCAGACAATAACACCGAGTTAATATTACAGCAACGAGAAATTTAAACAGAAGATTACCCATGCCACAAGCAAGCAGGATGAAGTGAATAATCAAACAGAAAGAGATAATTACCATCATGTCCTGAAGGTGAAGATGCAGTCTCTTTGGGTTTTAAGTGCCACCGACGATGATGGTGATGATTGTGGTGTCTTGGCGAGGGACTCCTGCTCGAGGTGGGAGACAATGCTGATAATAAAAAGAGGATGACAAATGCTCGTTATCAAAGAGAAAAATTCACTAGAATGGTCTTGTCTTGACAATGTAACCAAGGAGGTACCTTGCTGACTAGGTGAAGGTGCGGCAGCAATGGACATCGCAGGAGAATGAAAATGGTGCATTTGATGCGATCTAGTAAATAGTAAACTCGTTGGAAATAGCCTAGTGGCTGCAAATGATAGAGCAAGCTCATAAGGGGCTGGTGGGCAGTTTCAATTTACAGCACACCAGTGAGATAATTGTAGCAACAAATAGAGAATGTCTACAAATGTAAACCATGAGGAATGCTAACTGTAAGAAAAATAGAGTTCCGGTTAAGCAAATTCTTCCACCTTTCTCAATGGAATCGCTGAAAAGACTAATTGGATCTTTGCTCAAAATTCTCATAGCTCTTTGACTTTTACTTTCTACTACGAGTTCCAATGTCAGCTAAGGCCCAAGGTATCGGAAATGGCCGTAATCCTTACGCTTCACAACTACAAATTCCCACTTTTGGATTCAAAATCTTATAATAAACCACAACTCAAAGCCCTTTTACTTGACTTTTACATAATAAAACCACAATAAAATGGCTTCAAAACGAAGCTAACATTCTAAATATAGCTGCTACAGCTAATTTGACCTGTCAAGTGGGAGCAATAACTCGAGTAATTTACTCCCTTTTTGGTTTCCTAATTATACCAGCATTCAATCACACTAAAAGCATGGGAGGGCAAAACAAGAAAGTCCGTACCAAAACAAAGGGGGGAAGAGCTGAGAAAGTGAAGAACGAGGAGCAGAAGGAGCAGCATCGCGAAGTTCCGCATAGTATACCACAGTCAGCAATGAGGACAGCCAGACTCCACGGTCGCGCCGTACACTCTCCGTACAGCCCTAGGGTTCCTCCAGCGAAGCACTCGTGGCAACCGAAAGTCCAGCAAAAACCTCCTCATGGCTTCATAAACATGGATTTCAAGGGGCAAACCCACCAAAACCTCCTCGGAAAAACCCTAGATTGCACAATGCGAGCGAGTTCAAATCGATTCACAGATCCACGAAATGCGGCTCGTGATCTGTGCAGCAGAAGCATAGACGCGCGTATTTGGCGAGCGAACAACCTCTAGGCGCAGAGAAAGAGAATTTCTCCGGCAGAAGTAGAGAGAAGAGAGACCACTGAGGGAGAGAGTAAAGTGTCTCGAAGCAGAAGGAGAACTGAGAGAGAGAGAGAGAGAGAGAGAGAGAGAGAGAGAGAGGGACTTTAATGCTGGTAGTGGGAAGGGCGTAGGATAGCGTGTTTCCAGAGTGAGACCGCTTTCGAAGAAATGGAAAAGCGATGATAATGCCCTCTCTAACAACGCGCTCCTATCAAGCGCGTGTTCTCTACTCTCCTCGAAACGACGAAACTAAAAGCCGTTTGGCACCGTCACACCACCATAACGATGTTTATTTGGGCCTACTTGGGCTCTGTTTGGGCCCTCAATTAAACACCAAATTTTCAACCCAAAAAAAAGGGGAAGACGAAATTTGTAAATAAAAAAACCATAAAAATAACATGGTCATTAGGCCCATTACGTCCTCGCTGGGCTCTTACTTGGGCCAGCACTTGATGTTTAGCTCTGAGAGACTAATGGAGCCCTTTCACGTAAGCCCAGTTCATGCTGTGCGGTCCCCCCCCTTCATTTATGTATGCCTCCTTTAATTTATTTATTTTGGTGAAAAAAAAAACCCTTTAATTGAATTCCCTCCTCTTCACACACACCGGCGGCTCTCTGTCCAAACAACAAAAACAACCATGAAGATGGAAGATGATGATCCAAAGTTCACTCCTCCAGCACCATCACCGTGGAAATCGGGCGGCATGAATGCGGTGGTGATCCTGGTCGCCATCATTGTTCTGGTTGCGGTCTTCCTTCTCGTGTGTTCAGTTCTTAGGAGACACGGCGCAGTCCCGGCAGCAGCGGTCCTGGAGCCAGACGCAACCCCGACCGTGGTGGTGGCCGAAGAAGGACCAGAACAATGATGGCGACAAGGATCACCAATACCCTCGTCTCCTGAGCCGTCACGGGTCTGAAGCAGTCCCTGGTCTGAAGCCGTCTGTGGCCGAGTCTGATACTTGTTGGTGTTCGTGTTAGTTCTAATTTGTGTTGGGTTGTTGTCTGTGTTTAATCCCAAGTTCAATATGGTTTAGGGATTTTTAATCAAGTTTACTACATCCCCAGCCTCTATTCAATTTGCAAAACCTACTACTGAAATCCAGCTCATACTTAATTAATGTAGATTGGTTAAATATGAAAATATCCCCAATATTTTAAATAAAACCTCTTGTGTACTTCCATTAAAAGACATTAGGTTAATCTTAGGAAAGCCTCAAACTGCAGTGTATTTTAAGTTTTGAAATATAGAGTTACTTCTTTTTGCAACTTATGTTGAACACTGATGTAACATTTTTCCTCGGATTAGAAAGAAAACATTTACCGTACGTCATATTCACTGATCCAAGCAGTGTCTAGAAAAAATAAAATAAAAAATCCAAATTTTTCTTTTTATTTGCTGACTCGAACATTTCATCTTCTTCATTGAAACTTTCGAGTTTTAATATTAGTTTTAAATTATGCAACACACAAACATCAACCATAAAAAAAAAATATTATTGTAAACAAGGAAACGGGGCTAGGTAAACCCTGTAAATGGGCTTATAAGGCCCATCGGGCTTCCATGAGCCCATTGATGTATATGAAATTGGTCCATGGTAGCATTGACAGAATCTTACCATGTCATGTCGTTTGGTATGGTCCTATTTCTACGTTTTCAAGAAATCATTATGGTGCGATCTTTTTAACTGTTTATTATTAGGAAAACTCTTTTTTTAATTTGTTGGCATAATACACATAATGATTCTTCAGATGATACAGTAGCAGTTTTGTCAATCTCAAATCCCAACCCAGTTATATTAGCATTATTTTTTCTGTATATATCTTCTTATTTAGCATTTTAAAAAAACATATGATATGATACTATAGATGAAAAGCATGATTTTAAAATTAATTTTGGTATGTACGGATATGGCTATTATATTTGATATCGATATCCACACGTCTTTCCATCTGAACTATCCCCAAAGTAATGCAAATGATCTGTTTCCATTTCCTCATGCGTTTCGGTTATTTTGTTTTCGTAAGTTTGCCGATGGGCTTCACATATAAAAACACGTGAATGTTTTACATTTTAGAAGACATATGCTACACATTTGACAGTTACTGTCTCATGCTCTCATCGTGGATTTTTTTTTTTGGTTAACCGGTAGGTTCACATGAGCCTTCGACCCAACCTACATCTCCTGGACCCAAAAGTAGCATTTAGAGTGACCGTCGAGAGGGACCCTACGAGCCACACCCCCTCATACGATAAATACACCCCTTCCTCCCCATCAAATGGATTCGAACGGTGGACGGGGCCCTTCGAGCCACACTCCTTCCTCCTTATCGTGGATTTTGTTGCGTTCTTGACCTTAGTTTCCTTTGTTCAGATCGGAGAAGTTGGCGGCAGTGGTAGAACTACGTGCAACAATATGGGGGCATATGCCCCCATTCAACTGATTAAAAACTTTAATTTTCCATACAAATTTTTTAAAAAATTTAAATAAAATCATGAAATGCCCCTATAAATTTATATTTGTTCATCATAAAAATAATTTTGTCCCTATTAATATATTTGTCTAGATACGCCACTGGCTGGCGGTGACAGACCGTCGAAAACGATTAAAGTACACATCCATGCATTCCACACGCATTCCGCAAACATGAACTCCAATGCGAAATGACTGGCGTGCGTGTGTGTTTTCTTTGGTTAGTTGAGCGAAATCGTGCACTTGTTTTATTTGATTATATTTATATTTAAATTTGTTTGTTATCTTGATATAAAAAAATATCAATATATTATTATTATAATAATAATATATTGATATATGCTGGGCGTGGTTTATCTACTGGGCATGGTTTGCCGACTGCTGCGTTGAGCCATCGAGTTTACCGTCCGCGATATCGTGTCATTCGTCCGACTCTTTGGGTTGTGAGGCGTTGCGAAGTCCGATCCAAAGGGTCGAGGGCGAGTTCCAATCATTATATAAAAAAAATATTTGTCGCACAGTATCGACTTTCTTCTCTAAAAATGTTGGCTATGGGGATTTGTGGAGGGATGCACTAATACTCTCTCGAGCATTTTTTTTATATACATTGGGGAATCCCGTGACTATCTACCCTTACAAACGGAGACGAACTGGGCACCACCCGCGCCTAACAGTCCCCGACCGGATCTGGCCACCAGGCGCGCCTAACGCTCGGGCCGTAGTTGGGCTTAGGCGCCTGCGGGTCAAACTCCAAACCCACGCGCACGAACCTGCAACACACGCGTAGGAGGTAAATCAGCCCATTGTGATAGGCTGACAGACGAGCACGTCAGAGGAAGGGAGACGGCAGGGTTCGATCCCTCCACCTCAAGGAGTTGCTCCCCTGCTCCCAACCAGCTGACCTGGCCCCGAAGGGCTACTCTCTCGAGCATTGTTTACTTTCTCTCGAACATTAGTCGCAATTTTTGAATGTCATGGCACCAACCTGGTAAAAAGGGTTGTGTTGATTTCTCTATGCCTTTTTTTTTTTTGTTAAGGTTCGGAAAGAAGCTCAAACAAATGGAAGAACTCACAACAAAAGAGATTACGCAAATGGAAGGAGTTTCATGGAAAAGGAAAAAGAAAAATGACAATATGAAGAAACCGAAGAAATAAACAAAGGATGGAATTTCATGAAAAAGAAAATATCAAGCTAATGGAAAAGGAAAGAGAAATATTAAATAATGAAATGGAAACTCTATATGAAAGTAAGATAAAAACCGATCCAAATCAAACCCGAAATTCGATGTGAACTCGGTCCAAAAATCCGATTTTTTTCGGTCAAAAAAACTTAGATCCGAAACCTATTATTTTTTGGTTGAACCGGATCGAACTTTGGACACTCCTACTTATTTGGATTGGACCTATTGATAATTAAGAATTTAAATAGATTATTTTAAAAGTTAGAATGCTTATGAAACATATCTCCGAATATGAATGATTGGGATTTTTAAATTTTTGGATTTCAAAAACAAAAAACATAACCAATCAAATTTTTATAAAATTGTTTTTCTTAAAAACTTTGAAAACCATTTTAATGAAATAATCAACTAAAAACTAAAAAAATTTATTTTTTTGGATTTACAAAACCAAAATTCAAAAACCAACAATCAACAACCAAAAACTCAAAATAAAAACTATTACTATTCAAAACCCCATCTAGCTACATAAATTTTTTTCCCGAAGAAAACGAATAATGTGCTATTTTTAGGTATGGCTCTGCCGAAAAATAACAATTTCCATGGCTAATCATGGCAAGATACCTTGTGATTAGAATATTATTAGTTCTTTAGTTATTTTCTCACTTTTATATGTCAGTCTCGCAGGTACCCGCGAGTTTCGCGAGATAGAGATCGAGACATTCTAATCAAAAACCCGACGAGACCGAGATCGAGATCCGGATACCCTAAAAAATCCGGGTACCCGCCCGTGCCCACCCCTAATGTCAGATACACCATATTCCTACTTGCTCAATAATTTTGCAACCATATCTCCAGTTCATGAAAAAAAAATAGCATCTCGTTTCCAATACGCAAAGTCTTTGAACGTATTCTACCGAAAAAAGGGGGAAAAAATTGTATCAATAACGCTGGAGATTAATTTACTTACCGTGGACACACCATTTTCTCCCAACCTTACTCTCTGTTTCGTTTTGAGGCAGCCGAATTCGAGAGGTTCATCTTCAAACTACGTGCCGTTTGCTACTAAGGGCCACCAACTTCGCGTCGGCGAAAGCAGCCACGAACGCCGTTCAGGTGACGCGCGTGAGACGCAAATGGGGCACCACTTGCAAAAAAATAGGAAAAAGAAAACATGCACGAACACGATAATCTTCAACGCGCAAAGTGCAAACACATCTTGGCTACAACGTACACTCTTCCAAATTCGACAGACTGTTAGTTAAACAATCTTCTCATAAATCTATACAAAATATAGTATAAAACATCAACACTCCTCTTCCCTAATCCCCAATAAGTCAATTATTCAAGAAAGTTTCAAAATCAAACGTTAATGCCCCTTCCTCTGGACCAACCGGCTCGGCCGAGGGGCTAACTCCGGCGGTTGCATTGTCCATGAGCCATGCCTCAAACTCTGACAAGAACTTGCCCTGCACCGAGCCATTATTAGTTCCCAGTTGCTGAAACGTCTGATGGCACGAACCAGCTGCCACTGCAGGGTTCCGAGTTTCTGCAGAAGCAAACAGATCTGGATTTGTCTCAATCTGATGATTCCCACATTCAGAAAGGTTTTGGTCCGGATGCCGAGTGAACACATGGCTTAGAGGATCAGGCACTGGCACGGTCGAGAAGTAACCGGTCATGTTCTGCTGTCGATTCCCCAGTTGGGTGTATGGGTCTCGCCACCCGTCTGCCTCTGCCAACAGAGGAGAACTATGAGTACATTGTAAACCTTGAGAAGTATTACAATAATTTCCGATGTTGTTATGATCGTTCAATGGAGCATAGCCCGTTTTAGAGAGAAACCCGGCTCCACTCGCCTGTGGAGTTTCCGGTATCAGGCTCGTGGAAGAGGCTACTCGGGACCTTAGGTGACCGACGTAATGACCTCTACTTTTCTGGATGACACTGTTGCGAACACCGCTCAGTAACATCACGGATCGATGCTGCAACCCGTGATTCTGTAGGATGGATCTTGATTGCCCGATCCGACGACTGGATCTAACCTTTGGAAAACCAGTGGACGAGGAGCAAGCCTGTATCCCCGGGACCTGGCTTCGTGGCAAAGTTTGTGGGGATAACCTTATGATACTCGAAGTAGAATTCCTTGAATGAACTTGGGTAACCATTGACGGAACCCGAGCCAGAGGAGGTTTTAATACCGGTCTGGAAGGCATCTTTCCGGTCCTGAAGTACTCGCGTTGATTCCTCCAAATGTCCTCCTTGTCATTGGCATGACAATGATCGATGCTGGAAACTCCAACACACCAATATGGGCATGGCGCACGGATGTCACATACATAACAATGACACTGTAAAAACAAGTGAAAACCGAAAAGACAACGGGAAAGGGTTACAGAAACGTGTCGATTCGGTTTGACAGACAATGGGAATCAGAGGGAAATCTCTACATGCTTACCATGTCACAGTATTTTTCGTGTGATGTTGAACTGAAGGGGTACTTAGCACAAGAATGCCGTGGATGAGGGAAGTCTCTACATGCTATCTACAAAAGAAATAATGCTTTTTGATGTTAGCTCAATGAGTTCAACGCCTGCATAAAGATGATACCAAGAAAAAGAGTCCAATGATATGATATTCCCTCAACTGATCAAAAGGATAGATGATGATCTTGTACTCACTTCAATCTGAATGATCATAATCGCTAATTACTGGCCGAAAAGTTCATGTTTTTCGATAGAAGACCAGTTTCCCGCTCCAAGAAATTATCTCGAATTTCAGTAGTAGTTTCCAGTAATAATGCAGAGTTCCCAATGTTTAAATTCTTCACCTCGTCAAACTACAATCCTCGATAGCCCAACCTGGACATCGGGACCATGCTTTCTCACAAAACATAATCACAACTGCAGGAAGGTATGTATCGCCATGAACCCTCCAAATTTCAGAAGATCGGATGATTGCAGTTCATATCTAGTCATTTTTACCATTGAATATCATATAGTTTCTCCCATAAGATAAAAATCACATGCTTTTTCCCACTTCGCATATTCATATCGACGGTCGAAATTGTGAGAGGTGAAGGAAGATTAGAAGCAACATACCTCACCCTTTTGCCCAACCACAAGCACCTCATCACTCTCCGCCGCGTTATCATCATCGTCAACTGCAGTCTCCGCCGCCGCCGTCGTCTTCTCGGGATCACCGTCCAAAACCACACAATCGTCGTCGTCTTCTTCATCACCCACTGTCGAATTCAACGGCTTTGACTTCTGATGCTTACTTTTTGAGTCACCCTTCACCTCGGAAACCACCTCCACTTCATCAAAACTGCCCGATTTCTCACTAACGGCTTGCAAAACCTCTGTGAGCCACTCAAAGTCGTCTAATCGAGGATCAGACTCTTCATCAGAGCTAACATCAACGACAACAGGGTTCATCGAACCCATCGGTGAAATTCAACTTATTACAAAACTTAGAGAAAATTAAGGCAGGAGAGAAAATTCGATCGGACGTACGACCATCGGAATTCAGCAAGTAAACTGAATTCTTAAGCGTTGGAGGGTTTCGCCCTCTTCGAATTGATATTTTCTCGGGAAAATTTGCTTCCCAAGCAATAGCAGAAAATAGAAACAAAAGAGTGGGAATATTAGGGCAAGAAGAAGAAGAAAGCAGAAGCCGAAAAAGTAAAACATGGGACAAAAGGTAAATGCGGCACGAAATGGAGGGCAAATAGGTCATTATAAGCAGCTGGTATTAGTTGGGCTAGGCCCATCATACTGTGGATGGCCCAAGCGAAGGCCTCTGCAAGTGCAAACAACTCCTCAAGGTTTTTATTAAAGATTTAAATTTCATGTGCTCATTGACTTGTAGTTTATGTATATTGAATTATTTTATAAATAAATTCGTGATCTTGTGGTTTTTTTTAATCTCAGTATTTATAAATGAAATCACATTATCTGATGGAGATTACAAATGTATTCATGTGGTGCAACATATTACAATCCATCATAATCATTGTTTGTGTTCATTTTTGGTAATAATTATAGTTATATGTTCAAAACACAACGTTTTTATAATAAATATACTGAGAAATGACCCCAAAAAAAAAACAATAGCACCTGAGCTGTTCTTTTCCTGGTCTCAGGTTTTATCCTCCTTTGTTATCGCGAGGGAACTCATAAAATTCTAATTTTAGGACCAACTTTTTTTAACTGTCTTTTTTCACCCCACAGAAATAATAATTTAAAAAATCCAAAAAGGAAAAAGAGAAGAATTATTTCCAATTTGCTGCCATTAATCTTCGCTCCTCTCTTCAACCGCGCATTCATTGAGTTCCCTCCGTACCTAAGCTTCCGTTACAAGTTTGTTCTCTTTTGTTCGAAATGTTCATGGTTTGATTCGCATTGATTTTCTTGGAGAATATGGAGGTATATTTCTCTCTTTAATCCCCGATTCTGCTTACTATTGATGTGATCATAATCCTGTATGATTCGAGATTTCTTTAATGCTTTAATGTCCCCCAGCTGTTTTGAGCTGGAAGCTTGAATTCGTCATTAGAACTCGTTGATTTTTTCCCAATGGGTTGAATCGCTTCGGTATTAGGGTTTCGCTATAAACAGGATTTGTCATTTGAGGGATTGCATGGAAAATTACAGAAATAGAAGGTCTTGCGAGGTAGTCTGTTTCATATTGAGTTGATATGTCGGGACCTGAATTCATACCCGTGTCTGGAGAACTCGGAGGTACTTTTGTTCGGAAGGGTTATTGCTGATCTTGTTTTCTATAATGGGAAAGTTTTGCCCCCCCCCCCCAATTTATTAATGCCATTTTTACATTTCAGGATCTATGCTCTCTACCTATTGATTTTGCTGGTGTTCTCTGAGGGAAAGGTTGGAACCAGAGATCAAGGGACAGGAAAGTTTGCGGATTTAAATCCGGTGGATCGCGTTACAATGGTATCTGAGCTTAAGTGTTTGATTTGATGGAGATGTCCTGTACTCTGACAACGGATGAGATATGGATCCAAGGGAAGACGTTTGCGTAATGAATAGCAATAGGCAGGACGACATATTGGCGGTTTGTCGGAGAGACAAAGTAAGACTGTACCTGAAGGAGGAGGATGTGGGGGAGGACAGAGCTAGTGTTCCTTATGGGGCCGGAACTCAAGATGGATTGAGAATGCCGTATGAGGACAAAGATGAACCTGAACGATACACATCGGATATGAGTGAAAAAGAAGATGAGGGTAGACCATCATGGAGAGATGATCGAAGTATTTTTCGGACAGGTGAAAGGGAAGTTGAATGGAATGCATCAGCACAGGATGAGGAAAACAACTCAGTGGAAATACATGAGAAGGAAAATGAAAAAGACATGTCGGGTTCATGTAAAAAAGATGATGAACAAAGTACATTGACAAAAAATGAAAGGTATTCCTCTGATGTAGAGGCAAAGGAAGATGAACATGACTGTTCGAAAGCGGACATAGACAAGGATGAATGGGATGCCTCAAAGAGGGATAACAATCAACATGGATGGGGTGCATCCGAAAGTGTTGAGAAAGAAGTTGAGTGGGACTCTGTTAAGCAACATGAAGGGAACGACTCAAATGATGCATTGGAGAGATTAAATAGGGAAGAAGGACAGACTGCGTTGGGGAGGGATGAAAAGCAAGGACTCAGTTTTGCATCAAGGGATAAAGAAGAACCTGACCAAGGTTTCCCAGAAAGGGATGATGAGGTAGATGGTCCAAATGCTCTTAGGCGAGAGATTGAAGAAGTGGGTACACAAGTGCCAAATGGTGAAACTGTAGAGAACGAATTCCATAATATGAGGAAGGATGGAAGGGAAGAAGATAAAACTGTGCATGAAAAAGAGGTTGAAAACAGCATATTGGAAAAGGATGGTGAAAATGATCCGAGTTCAAGTTCGAAAGAAAAAGATGACGAAAGCGCAAGTCCTAGGAATGAGACAGAAGTAAACGAACAAGGTGCCAGAGAGTCAGAGATGGCAGAAGAAACAGGAGAACAAGTCTCGTCTTCGTTGACATCAGGAGTTGTTAAAGTAGCCGATGGAGCATTTCAAAACATATATTTCACTGGACCAGTATTACCACAGTCACCGACACTGGGACACAGACGCAGTCAAAGTGAAATTGGGACTCCTGGACACAGGCGCACAAACAGTTTCCAGAAATTGAGAACTCACATGCAGAAGGCATGGCGTGGGTTCAGCACTCTACGAGAGGATAATAAGCCAAGTTTCAACCCTGAGGTCTTAGCATACCAGAAAAGACAGTGGTACCAGCTTCACTCTTCCAAAGCTCTGGTACTCAGCCTCGATAGTTTTCATATCAAATCTTTGAAATGGGTTTCTGTATTCCCTTAACCCTTAATCAGTTGGAGCTTCATGTCTTGTAGAAGCATATAAGCTCAGTATTTATCGTGTTATGTCTCTTCTAGGATCAAACGAAATATAAGGAGCCAGCCTCACTTTTCGAACATTTTATCATCGTGGGGCTTCATCCTGAAACAAATTTGGAGGCGGTGGAGGAGGCATTCCGTAAAAGGAAGAAATGGGAGATGGAGATGTTAAGGTATGAAGTGGCAGATTACAATATTCTCCGTCATCGTGGGCCTCAACTCCCTATATTAGAGCCTCAGGTCTGTCGTTAACTTGTTTACTTTTCAATAAGTGCACCGAATTTTCCATTTTTATGCTCTACATCCTGCATGGTATTTACGATTTATGTACCTTGTTTAACACAATTGCTCTTGGTGTTATATCTGTCGCTTCTTAGCAGGTTTTCTCTTTTCTTCAGCCTTTTATTCCCTTTGTTAATTTTCATTTTGTATGTACAGATTCTTTTTAGATATCCCCCTGCGAAAAAAATGGCTATGCATCCAAAGGATCTAGCAACTTTCTGTTTTCCTGGTGGTGTCAAGGTATGATATATATGTTCCTTCCCACGATTGTCAATAAGTATCAGTGTACAATTGTTAGGAGTCATCTCAGTTAACCACAAAAGCATTTACCTGTCACTGCAAATGCTTTTGGGGATATTGGGTTACCTGTCCCTGCAAAGCATAGCGTCTCTGTTGGGCTCTTCTATGCCATCTGTTGCAACTAAGAAACTGTTGAAAAATGGTTTTCCTTGTTAGGCACGACTTTTGGAGAGGACACCATCGCTAAGTGATCTAAACGAGCTTGTGTATGGGCAGGTACCCAAAGCTTTCATATGGATGTTATATTATTCAGCTTCTGGTTTTACATATTATAATTATTTTAAATTTCTTGCAGGAACATCTGGGCACAGATGATTCATCATTTATATTTTCATTCAAGGTACTTTTCTTTTTCTTTAGGCTTATTCATTTTTAATATTTCAGACGTGTACTAGCTAAGTTAAATTTTGCATAAGGACACAGATATACTTTTCGTGGTCAGGTAGCAGATGATGCAACCCTCTATGGTGTTTGCTTGCATGTCTCAGAGATTGTTCAGAGGCCACCTGGTGTATTAAGCACGTCATCACCCTTGCATTCATGTGGAGGAGGCAGTCATTTTTTGTTTTCTGCACCTCGATGCTATTGCTTGCTAACCAGAGTTCCTTTTTTTGAATTACACTTTGAGATGTTAAACAGGTCTATAAAATGCCCAACTATTCTTATTATTGTCCTGGCCTTGCATTTAATGGAGACCAAGAAACATGAATTGATGGTGTTTCATTGTTGATGCAGTCTGATTGCACAGGAGCGTCTGAAGCGGATAACAGAATTTGTTAGTGAGATGTCCCTTGCTGCTTCATGTTATGCCCCATCAGTTTCCAGACCAAATGATCAGACCAATGGAAATACCGACTCACCTGGTAGGGATCCCAATGATTTGATGGCTTCTGCCATACCAGTTGACAGTGTCATAGCACTCACGGCTGCTGCAGCGGGAATTATATCTGATGATGATGTTGCAGTCGCTTCTCAGAAGGTTGCGGAACCTATGTCTCCTGACAGTGTTGTCACTAGTGATTCTTCAGAGGCAAGTCATGCCAAGGAAATAGAAAGAGATTGGAGAAAGGAGGACGCTCGATGCTATGATGATAATTCCTCTGAAGCATCTGATACCCGCATGGATATTTCAGAAAAAATGTACAAAGACGTTGAAAAGGGCTACACTTCTCCAGAGGTTATTTTGTCTGATTCTACGATCAGGCCCGTAGAGCGTACTGAAAGCTCCGATTCTGTGTTCTGGTAGATTAACACATTTCATCTCTGTCAAAATCATGATCTATCTACATCGTTTTTGTCTAATGGTATTCTGATTCTTCTTATACAGACAACTTAAAATATACCTTATTATGCATGGCAGTTCAGGTAGAAGCGTGTTATTGGATGAGGTTGGTGATGGCGGTTTATCCAACAGCGAAAATGATTTTGGGGACCTGATTATTGAATGGGCCAGGGTAAGGAGATCAATTAGCGTTTTCCCATTTATTCACTTTCCAACACCTTGGTCAAAATTGTATAATGTTGTATGGCTTCTCTCCTTGATAGGACCACAAAAATGGTTCTCTGGAAATAATTTGCGGCTACCATTCTCTGGAAATTCCTTCACGAGGAAGTAAATTAGTTTTCCAGCCTCTAGATCATTTACAGGCGATTGAGTACACCCGTCCCCCTGTTTCAGCCCTTGGACTGTGGGAAGGATATCCTGATTCCTGTAATGCTTCAGAGGTATGTTTCTTTTCAGGGGTACTCCCCTTTGGCAATATATCTGCATATTTGTCTTTATTAAGACTATATTTTTTTTTCTTCTGTGGAAGGTAAATGCGAGGTTTGCTGCTGCTGAAGAAGCCCTGGCTCTCTCGACATGGACAACGGCAACTATGTGCCGTGTTCTTTCTCTCGAAACTGTAGTGCCTCTTCACACCATCTTTTTATCTGTTCCTGTCTTGGTGTTGGAATAGAAGGCTCCATACAAATTGCAATTTTTCTTGCTTCTGTTATCTATCCGTCTTCTGCTTTGAGTTCTTGATTTCACCAGTACCAACGAACTTATCGAGTTACGTATTTCTTTTGCCCCTTTTAGATTGTGGCACTGCTTGCTGGAGTATTGTTAGAGAAGCAAGTTGTGGTAGTCTGCGCAAATCTGGTCAGTTATTCTTTCCTCTGATCATTATTTTCTTTTCTTAATATGTTTTTAGTTCTGGGAGTTAAAAAACTGTTGTCCAAAATTTCTGATAAAAGAGGGACTTTTGAACTGAAATTTGAAATCTAGTCCTAGATTTTCCTGGTCAAAGGTTCTGCACAATTCTCTTACCTGTTTCTTCTCTATATCTCATGATGAGAGATATGTTTGGGGCTTATGGAGCTAAATCATCTGGATGTACTAGATTCCAGCTTTTACACCATTCATTTAATTATTGCAGGGTGTTTTGTCAGCCACGGTAATGTCTCTCATCCCGATGATTCGGCCATTTCAGTGGCAGAGTTTATTACTTCCTGTAAGCTTCACATCACGGTTCATCTGCTGATTCCTCATGAATTCAAAAACAGTAGGCTAGCCCAATTGTATTTTCCTCATCATGAGTTTTATCGATCGACTTCAGGTTCTGCCAGGAAGGATGTTTGATTTTCTCGAGGCTCCTGTTCCTTTCCTTGTGAGTTTACTGTTGGCTCTCACTCTGTGTCTATACCAAACTTTAACAAGTTCATGATGATGGTATTAGTAGACTTATATGAGGAAATCATACTTTTTGTAAGGAGATAGATTTAGTGGTCGAGGGATATGTGAAAGAAATGCAAGCTTACAAATTAAGATTGTTCCTGCCAACTGAAAACCTTTACATGAAGAGAACAATACTAAATGTGTTTGGTTTTTGAACTCAGTTTCGGTTCCTGAAATTGGCAGGTCGGCGTACAGAGCAAACCCGCTGATTGGAAGATTAAGACGTCTAATCTTATTTTAGTGAATGTTCTAAACAACCAGGTCGGTTTGGGATTATTATTAAAACTACTTTCAAAGATCCATGATACTGATCATCAACAATCTCAAATGTCTATAACTGCGTCTCTTCAGGTGAAAACGTGTAATTTGCCAGCACTACCTCGCCGTAGAGAACTCATGGCTCAGCTGAGTCCGATACATTCTACACTAGCTCATCAGAGCTCGGTTGCCAGAAGAAATCAGGTCAATAAATGCAACGAAGTGCAGGTTGGGTCAAAAAACTCGAAGTCCAGATTTGATTTTGCGAGCATTTATGGTGTGTATTTAGTAGTCGGGTGTTCATACTCTGGTGCCGACTCATATTTTCGAATGATCATTCCCCAGGCTGATGCGGCAAGGGAGTTCTTAACAGTGATGAGGCAATACATGGAGTCACTCTGTGCAGATTTACAGTCTCATACAATAACCAGCGTTCAATCCAACAGCGACAGGGTAACTTATTTTGCAGTCTCATCTCATCGTGAAGATTATTATATTAATAATCTCGTTTCGTGCTTTGGTTTCAGGTATCTTTACTTCTCAAGGACAGCTTCATCGATTCATTTCCCAGCAGAGACAGACCCTTCATCAAGGTAAGAAAAAAACACTTTCAGATCGAACCCCTTAAGAACCCGAATGCTCAAAATGTTAGTTTTTGGTTTGCCCTCGGGATTTTGCAGTTATTCGTAGACACGCAACTGTTTAGTGTTCAGTCGGACCATCATTTGTCGAGCTTCGAGAACGGGCATATCTAACATTACATGTAGACGAAGGCACGATTCATAAAAGCAAACAGAAGAAACCAAACCCATAATAAAGCAAGAGGGAGGGAGGGAGGGGTAACGACTACTTTTTAGTGTTGGTAACTTACCCTACACGCAATGCAGGTTTTTGTCCTCTGACAGGAAACACAGCTTAACATTAGATTTTGTCATACGTAGTGCAAAGACACTTGCATCTGAATTTGTTTCTTTATAGGATATAACGGTAAACGTGACCATCTTGTAAAATAAAATAGAATGATTTTTATTTTGCTTAATAATATACAGAACCAAAAAAAATATTGCCTTTGAATTCTCTGAGTTAAGGTTTTGAACCCTACACAATCTAAAAAGGGGTAGATGTTTCACAACGATGACGAAAACCTTAATGTGCCGTCTTTTTTTATTTTAATAATCGCTTTACACTGGGAAATATGTCCAGTGGATGTATATACACACTCTTAGAAGTACTAGTCTTTATGTTGGAATTCGGAAGCCGGCACATGTCTGAAAGTTTAAAAAATATTTCCCCCCTTATCGGTAATTATAGATCAATCTACTAACCTAATTATAAGTATGATACAGACCTTTTTTACTGATGTTTTTTCTCCGGGCACAAGCAAAAGTAAAAACCTCTCCAACTACTTGTTTTCTTGGTTTTCGTCTTCGTTTTCATCATCGGACTTGGCAAAAATGGGTTGAGGCTGGGTCTGAGAATACGCGGGTGCTATGAACTTTGGGTCTTTGGCCGCAACTTCTGCGTATTTCAAGATTGCTTCTCTCGGATCTTCCTCCATCCATGTCTCCTTTATCATTCCTCCTTGCTGCAAAAAACCCGAGCAAATCCACCATCGTTTAATTCACAAATTTGGTAATATCTCATAAAAAACGATATGACCGACCATTCTAAAAGGAAAGATGACAACTTTACCTTGAGAAGGTACTGCGTTAGTAAGCTTCCACTGGTTGTGCCGACTCTTCCACCATGGCCGGGACCCGTGATTGGAATCTCAGGCTTGTGAGCCTTGAAAGGGTCCTTCAGTATCTTCTCTCTCTGACGCTTCCGGCTTGGTGGGTCTCTGAACAAAGGCAGTGCATGCGGATTGTGGATAACTGGCGCTGGCTGGTAATCGTCTACTGATTTCTTCCTCGGTGCACGTGCAACACAGACGAGAGCCCCTCTTTCACTAAGTGTCGGATCATACAGTACGTGTGTTCCCCCTTGGCTTTTGTCTCCAGATGTTGCAAATATCTAAAAACAACAGAGCATGTGTTTTATGTATGTGCGTATGTATGTAGATAGAGACAGGGACCCAAATTTCACGATGAATACCTGGTTCAACCTCGGGTGCCAAGAGCATTGGACAACACTGGAAGTCGGGGATATTCCAACCTTTTGAACGAGATCAAGTTTTGTACGGTCGAAAATGCAGAGAAGGCCTCCAGTTGTGCCACCTTTCTCGATGGATGTTCCGGTCAGGATGAGTCGCTCATCCGGACTGAATGCTACGTTAGTTTGGGCGTAATTGTTTGGTAGACCCTCAAACACCTTCAGAGCTTGTTTCATCTGGCGCAAGTCCCAGACCTAATTGATGACAAAATTAAGTTCTATACTCCACAAAATCGGTATGAAGGTTAATAAAACACAGAATCTAGTGCAACGATATAATACACAGGATTACCTTGAGAGATCCGTCAAAACTTCTAGATAAAAGAATTCTACCGTCGCTAGAGAACTTCACAGAAGTTATATCGTCCGTGTGTGCTTTTTCCACATATATATCCGGTCTGCTTCCCCATCCCGGCTTCAGATTCCAAATCTGCAATAGAATAAACGTGAAAAAAAAAACTGAGATATAGAAAACAGAACATTACACGGGCATGTTGGATAATACACTTCACATTGCAAATAAAAGCACAAATATTTCTCCGCAAATGACAATCAATACCTGTACAGATCCATCTCCTATGCCACCGGCAATACATTTTCCATCACGGTCCCAAGCACAGGTGGTAACAGGAACCCTACCAGGCCTTGCAAGCTTTGGCTTAATAACCTACCGATAATATAAAATCATGTCATTCGTATCCATAACTGTATACGCTGTATCAATTTACCATCCCATAGAAGAGATATCAAGTTATAAACACATGCAGTATCACAGGCCAACAGATTTAGCGACTTTTTGTGAATGTGAATATAGGCAGATAATAACCTGCTTCTGGCTGTTGAAGTTGTTAACATCCCATATACGCAATGACCCGTCTTCTGAAGACGTGAGAATAGTTTCCTTAGTCTTAGGATGCCATTCTCCGCAAGTTAATCCGCAGATATGGCCTTTGGTGTTCTTCAGATCACGAATGTACATGTCCCCTTTAACAAACTCGCCAAGGGTAAGACCATCACGATCATAAATCTGAAATCCAGAGGAAACCAGATGCGAGCAATTCAGAGATACAATTCAAGATCAGAACTCAAAGGAGAGAGCCAAGTAACAATTCGCGTACCTTAGCTTGTGCAGAGCCAGTAACACAGAGAAATTGACCAGAAGTGGGACTCCAGCTCAAGCTGCGAACTTGATGACCCTCAAAGGGTTCAATCTGTCTAAAGGACTGCAGCCGGGAATTCATCCCTTGGAAGTCATACATACGCACAGTGTAGTCATAGCTTCCTGAAAGAACCCTAGCTCCGGCATGATCCACAGCGAGAGCTGAAACAACCTGTTTCAGACACACACAAAAAAAGGCAGCGGCTTTGAGTTTTAGATTCTGCCCTAAAATCCCAACGTCCACATCAGACTACTTTCCAAAAATTTCTACGAGTTCTGAATCATGTAAAACCATTCTGTATACCTTGGTGTGGCCCTTGAGTTGAATTTCGTTGCTCATCGGAATCCGATACCGGTTCTCCTCGTCCTCGTCAGCATCATCGCCGTCGTCATCGTCATCCGAATCTCCAACAGAAGATCCCGCCGGAGGTGGCGGAGGACCGATTGTTGCACCGTCTTCATCAGAGTCACCGTCATTATCCGACCCCTTCGGCAGCGGCGGAGGTGGTCCCACCATAACCCCGTCGTCGTCCTGCTCTTCCTCCTCCGTGAGCTCAGGTGGAGGCCGCGGCGGTCCAACAGCTACATCGTCTCCGTGAGGAGGTAAAGTGGAGCTAGATCCAGCACCGGAACTAGAGCTAGGGTTACGATCAGGACCACGAACAGTTCTGAGCCAGGGTTCAGAGAACGAAGACAGAGAAGAGAAGCTGGACTCGGGTTTGCCAGAAGAAGCTTTCTTCAGGACGGAATCCGTAGAGGTTCCGGCGATGGCGGCGGCATCGGAATCGGCGTCGGCGCGGCGGGTAGCGTTGTGGAGGGCCTCGAGCTGCGCCGGAGCGGTGGATTGCTTGCCGAACGAAAGAGGAAACTGGGCTCGCAAGCCGTCGTAAATATTGGCTTCATCCTCCATGATCGTCTTCTTCGAGTTCTGCGAATTGAACTCTCTCTCTGTAATTCCGATTAGGGATCGGTCAAGTCCGTTGAAAAAACGGGCCATGGGCTTTTTATAAAAGCCTAGTGAGGCCCATTAAGGATCATTGAAGCCCATATATATTAACTGATCCATTTTTGTTGTCCGATGGTCCTCCGTCTTTTAAAAACGATCCCATTACATAAAAACGAAGAAAAATGATAAAGCATGTCCTTCAAAACAATATAATATTAAATCTTGACATTTTTCATTTGATCCAACTTTAAACCTCGATTTTTTTTTTCATTTGATTAAATTAAAAATATATCATTTATTAATTCACTTACGTTAGATATTACTGTGTGAGAGCTGAATTTTATCCCTCACAAAAAAAAAAATACTTACACTATAGGCTCTCTCTCTCTTTTTAATGTAAGATAAAAGAAATACTACTATTTATTTATGGACCCTATATATTGAATTTGGTTATTTTATTATAAAATATCGCTAACTAATTTTTCTGCCCATTTTGCAAGATGTTGATTCTTCAATTCGACATGACAAGAATTGCATTTATGTTGTCGTTGATTCAACCCGTTTCTCGTGGATTTGCATGAAAGTTGATGGCTTTGTATTTATATGATATGGGAGGAAACGGTTGGCAGTGCTATCGAAATATCCAGAAACGTCATGTAGTTGGTGTTTGTATTGGCCCACAAAAAGGACAACTGAGCGTTTGTGGTTGCGACTTGGGTCAATCTACGGTGGGCCCAATCCAAGTTGTCACGTGGGCCTCGGGAAGGCCTTAATTTAATTCAGCACTTAATACGACATGCGTGTCGTTTTTCATACGTGACAATGTCTTGTAAATTATTTGTGTGTATATAATATCATATCATAAGAGCCAAGCATATTCGAATCAACTTAAATTAAAAAAAAAATTGGTAAAAACAGAAATTGTTAGTGCACTTCATATTTGAAAACAACGCATGATTTTATAAGAATGAAAAGAGTTAATAAAAAACAAAGTATCCTAAAATTTGACAAGTAATGGTGTGAGTGTGTATGTATAGATAACAACAAAAGGTTAATTTGGTACAATAATTTAATATATTTTAATATTAAACGACTTTTATTCGCTTTCGTAACACTTTTTATATAAAAAAAGAACACACTAATTCTCACGTGTGGTCATTTTCTCTATGCACAACAGCTGGTCATCTTTGTATATTGGAATGGTGATAAATAGTCGCATAGATTTACCAATCTGCCCACATCGCTTTTCACGTAAAACAGAAGCCCGAAGCAAATGAATTTGGAAAATAATTGGTTACAATCAAAATGATAATGACCTATGAGATCTCCACCACTATGGCACTGTCATCATCATCATCATCATCATCATACCCCACTTCACAACCAAGATCAAAATCACATGTAATATATAATAAACTTGCAACTTTTATTTTTTTTATGCGACACCTAAATCACTCTGTTTCTTTCCATTTGACAATGACTTATAAATCACTTGTTTGAAAATGCATGCATTGTTTAGTTTGTATTATTTTTAGTTGTTGGAATTTTGTTATTCAACAAATAATCATATTGGATTGAATTTAAAGTTTGTGTATTTTTTTGACCCTTTGTTGGATTGTGAATGACTGGTTTTGGTTTTGCACCGTCCCAACTACGGATCATGGTTGGTGATAAAAGATAGAATTTTTTTTTTAAAAGACAGTGAGGTCATTCATGTTCATGGAACACAAAAGATGTTTTTTTTTAAAGTACAAAACCCCTAAAGGTAACACCTTTGGAGCTTTACCCTTTACCCTTTTTCCACTTTTATAGCTCTGAGAATGGAGATTTAGCATTTGGTTTGCTCCGTACAGGTACAATTGGTATGCGTGTGTATATATGCACACACATACGCAAAAGAAAAACTCCATTGCCTCCTACAATTTTTGATCATTCAAAAAATTACAGAGGATAGAGTCCAAGGGGAGGCGCACGCGGGAGCTTGGAAGCTAGAGAACAAACATTGAATCTGTGTACGTGATCGTGTTAGGGTTTTCGATCAATCGTTGTACGTAACGCCATTGTCGCTGTTTTCTATCTCTCCGCTCATGGCGAGAGCGTGTCTGTGTTTGTTCGCAGAGACAGATTGAGAGACAAGCAACAGTGTCGTTTTCTTTGTGGAATTTTCAGTGCGATGTTTTTTGTTTTGAAATAAATTCCTGGGTTTGTCTCCTTGTGTTCTTCTAGATAACATCGATGAAGTTAACATAACAAAGATTCGAGCTTTTTATTATTTCTTTATAAGGAAAACTACATCTGTTTGTGTCTTCTACGTGTTGGTTTATGACGAGAAGCCATTTTGTTTCATTGTGCGATGTGTCCTTCAGATTCTGCATTCCTCTGCACCACCGCATCTCTCTTCGAGTCATGTTTCCATTGTTGTTGTTGTTGTTGTTCTTCTTCTTCTTCTTCTTCTTCTTCTTCTTCTGCTGATTTCCGATATACAGATGGTGAAATGCCCTTCTCGGCTGGATTCGCTTCGTGCCCTCCATGCTGTTTCGCTCAAAAGCTCGCTCTCTGCGATCCCAACGATCGACTCGACAATGGGTTTCACTGATTTGAAAGCTCTTCAGGGTTTACCCATACTGGAATTGAGTTCGATCGTCATCAACTTGACGCTATTCCTGGTGTTTCTCTTGACGATCTTGGCGAGACACTTGTCCGCCTGTCTTTGCAGAGCTCGGTTCATCAAACACGATTCTGTCGAGAACTCAAGTTATGTGAATGTTGCGGTCGACAGAGAAACTCAAGGTGTCGAAATCACCCAAGGATTCAAATTGTCGTTGCTATGCTGTTTCTACGTTCTGTTCGCGCAAGTCTCGGCTTTGGTGTTCGATCTCATCACCGCGACGCAGGCGACTGGCGAGATTTCAGTTCTTCTCTCGCCGGCTTCGCAGATTTTAGCTTGGCTATTGCTGTGCATATCAGTTGTTCGATGTAAATACACTTTGTCAGAGAGATTTCCTTTCTTGGTACGGATTTGGTGGGTTTTGTCATTCTTGATCTGCTTATGCGCTCTATACGTCGACTCTAGATCGCTCCTAGTTCATGGCTCTAAGAGCTTGTCGTCACACGCAGTCGCGAACCTAGCCACAGCCCCGGCTCTCGCCTTTCTCTGCTTCGTCGCTTTCAGAGGTGTTTCAGGTGTTCAAGTCGTAACGAATTCGGATCTTCAAGAGCCTTTGCTCGTCGAGGAAGAAGCCGGATGTCTCAAGGTAACTCCTTACAGCGAGGCAGGACTGTTTAACCTTGCCACCCTCTCATGGTTGAACCCTCTTCTCTCTCTTGGAGCCAAGAGGCCGCTCGAGCTAAAGGACATCCCTCTGCTCGCTCCAAGAGACAGGGCAAAGACCACTTACAAGGTCTTGAACTCGAACTGGGAGAAGTTAAAGGCCGAGAACCCCTCAAAACCGCCATCCCTGGCTTGGGCGATCTTGAAGTCGTTCTGGAAGGAAGCGGCTTGTAATGCAGTGTTTGCCGGGTTGAACACCCTTGTTTCTTATGTGGGTCCTTATCTGGTGAACGACTTTGTTAACTATCTGGGAGGACAAGAGACTTACCCTCATGAAGGTTACATCCTTGCCGGGATTTTCTTCACGGCCAAGCTTGTGGAGACTGTAACGACGAGGCAGTGGTATCTCGGTGTTGATATATTGGGAATGCACGTGAGATCAGCTCTCACGGCTATGGTGTACAGGAAAGGACTGAAACTCTCGAGTGTGGCCAAACAGAGCCACACGAGCGGAGAAATCGTTAACTACATGGCTGTCGATGTCCAGAGAGTAGGAGATTACTCATGGTATCTCCATGATATATGGATGCTTCCCCTGCAAATTGTTCTTGCCCTCGCAATCTTGTACAGAAGCGTTGGAGTTGCAGCTTTAGCCACGTTGGTAGCTACGATTGTCTCGATCCTCGTGACTATCCCTTTAGCACGGATTCAGGAGGAGTATCAGGACAGGTTAATGTCTGCAAAAGATGAACGGATGAGGAAAACTTCCGAGTGTCTGAGGAACATGAGGGTTTTGAAGCTGCAGGCTTGGGAAGATAGGTATCGGGTTATACTCGAGGAAATGAGGGGCACAGAGTTCAAATGGCTTCGGAAAGCTTTATATTCCCAAGCATTTATAACATTCATATTTTGGAGTTCGCCCATATTTGTTGCGGCTATCACTTTTGCTACATCTATTGGCACCGGGACTCGGCTCACGGCCGGGGGTGTTCTCTCTGCTCTCGCCACTTTCAGGATTCTCCAGGAACCGCTGAGGAACTTTCCAGACCTGGTTTCGATGATGGCTCAGACAAAAGTTTCCTTGGATCGGATCTCGGGATTTCTGCAGGAGGAAGAACTGCAGGAAGATGCCGCAACTGTCCTGCCTCGTGGTATGTCGAACACAGCTGTGGAGATCAGGAACGGTTGTTTCTGTTGGGATCCTTGCTCTCCGAGGCCAACTCTGTCAGGCATTTGTCTGAAAGTGAAAAGAGGAATGCGTGTTGCTGTCTGTGGAGTCGTCGGAGCCGGGAAGTCGAGCTTTCTCTCCTGTATACTTGGTGAGATCCCTAAAATCTCGGGCGACGTAAGTGAAAAACACTTCAACCACTTCCAAACCCGTGTTTGGTTTCATTATCTCTGGCCTAAAGTTCCATGTTTTTTCACAAATTTATAGGACCCTTTTGTCATTTTCATGTGCTTCTTTCTCTACACAGGTCAGAATATGTGGAACTGCAGCTTATGTCTCGCAGTCTGCATGGATTCAGTCTGGAAATATAGAAGAAAACATTCTCTTTGGCAGTCCAATGGATAGGGCCAAGTACAAGAATGTTATACACGCTTGTTCGTTGAAGAAGGACTTGGAGCTGTTCTCGCATGGGGATCAGACCATCATCGGAGAGAGAGGCATAAATCTCAGTGGCGGTCAGAAGCAGAGAGTTCAGCTCGCTAGGGCTCTTTATCAGGACGCCGATATATATCTGCTCGATGACCCGTTCAGTGCCGTTGATGCTCACACCGGTTCTGAGCTCTTCCAGGTTCACTATCTTTTCCCCTGCTTCAAATGCATCATTTGCATTTTCCTTACATACTAACACAAATGAATCAACTAGTCACGATGCATCCAAGATCTCACTGCATCAAAATCTTGAGCTAAGCATGTTCAGTGTAACTACAGGAATACATATTGACAGCTTTGGCAGAAAAGACTGTGATATTTGTAACTCATCAGGTCGAATTTCTTCCAGTGGCCGATCTTATACTGGTGAGGGCTTGTTCTATAAGTTGTTCTTTTGTCTAAACAAAGATTGAAGAACGGAAAGGTCAACCGAAATTTCATCTGATCTTATACCCTGTTATATAGTTGGATTTGGGAATCATAATCCATGTGCTTCAAATATCTGATGCATATAAACTTTCAAACTCAATTAAAAGCCTAAAACCTGTTAACCGAATTTACCAATATATAGTTTTTATTTTACATTCATATATCTCAATAATCGACATTCTCCATATATCTCTGCAGGTCCTAAGGGATGGCCAGATTATACAGTCAGGGAAGTATGAAGAACTGCTACAAGCTGGAACGGATTTCAAGTCACTTGTATCCGCTCACCATGAAGCTATTGAAGCAATGGAAATTCCGACCCACTCATCAGATGACTCTGACGAAAACCCGTTGCTTGATAGTTCGCTAACACGAATTCCGAAACGTGACACTTCCGCTAGCAACATCGAGATTATAGCCAAGGAGGTTCAAGAGGGGCCATCTGGGTCGAACCAGAAAGCCATCAAAGATAAAAAGAAAGCGAAGCGAATGAAGAAGAAACAGCTTGTTCAGGAAGAGGAACGTGTCCGGGGACGAGTCAGCATGAAGGTGTACTGGTCCTATATGGCTGCAGCCTATAAAGGGTCACTGATTCCACTCATTATCATCGCCCAGACTCTGTTCCAGTTCCTTCAGATCGCTAGTAACTGGTGGATGGCCTGGGCAAACCCGCAAACGCAAGGCGACCAGGCGAAAGTGACCCCTACCATCCTTCTCGTCGTGTTTATGGCACTTGCATTCGGCAGCTCGCTGTTTATATTTGTCCGGGCTGTTCTGGTTGCCACGTTCGGGCTCGAAGCTGCTCAGAAGCTGTTTCTGAACATGCTAAGGAGCGTTTTCCGGGCGCCTATGTCATTTTTCGACTCTACTCCTGCTGGGCGGATCTTGAATCGGGTATATAGGTTCCCAGAAACTTTATGGAAATCCGATGCATTTCTCGCCGTTTTATGTTGTTCTTATACAAAACCGTGTGACTTTTCAGGTGTCAATTGATCAAAGTGTAGTGGATCTTGATATACCATTCAGGCTCGGAGGCTTTGCTGCAACGACGATACAGCTTATCGGGATTGTCGGGGTTATGACGAACGTTACATGGCAAGTTTTCCTTCTTGTTGTCCCGACCTGCGTTGCTTGCGTGTGGATGCAGGTGAACAAGTCATTCTCTCAAGTCTTTTTGGTCTGAATCTTTCTCCTATTTTCATTACATTCAATTCCTTCTAAGGTGGATTTAAATGCAGAAATACTACATGGCTTCATCGAGAGAGCTGGTAAGAATCGTTGGCATTCAGAAATCTCCGATAATCCATCTGTTCGGAGAGTCAATAGCTGGTGCAGCAACGATCAGAGGGTTTAGACAAGGGAAACGGTTCATGAAGAGAAACCTTTACCTGCTCGATTGCTTTGCCCGGCCTTTCTTCTGCAGCATCGCTGCTATTGAATGGCTCTGCCTACGCATGGAACTTCTCTCGACGTTTGTCTTTGCCTTCTGCATGGTTCTTCTCGTCAGCTTTCCTCATGGAACCATTGATCCGAGTAAGTTCAGTTGCCACCTTTCTGTCGAAAACTTGTTTCATCACCTACATAGAGTTGATCTTCCGAAATATGAAAATGATGGGATGGATTTGTGTATAGGCATGGCTGGGCTTGCAGTGACATATGGTCTTAACTTAAACGCTCGCCTTTCGCGGTGGATACTCAGCTTTTGCAAGCTCGAGAACAAAATTATATCCATCGAAAGAATTTATCAGTACAGTCAAATTCCTAGCGAAGCGCCCGCAATTATTGAGGATTCGCGTCCTCTCCCCTCGTGGCCTGAGAATGGAACCATTGAGATCACCAATTTGAAGGTACTGCGCTATGATCTGGGTGTTAAACAACTTTCTCGATAATGTTTGAGTTTAAAGAATCAATCTTTTGAGAAATTTTTATGTTTTTTTTTTGTCTGAAGGTTCGATATGGTGAAAATATGCCGACGGTTCTTCACGGAATCAGCTGCGTGTTTCCGGGCGGTAAGAAGATTGGAATCGTCGGGAGGACGGGAAGCGGGAAATCGACGATGATACAAGCACTGTTCCGGATGATCGAGCCATCCGAGGGAAGGATAATCATAGACGGCATCGATATCTCCACAATAGGCCTTCATGACCTCCGTAGCCGCCTCGGCATCATTCCCCAAGATCCCACATTGTTCGAAGGCACCATCCGTGGAAACCTCGACCCTCTTGAGGAGCACTCCGACAACGAAATCTGGCAGGTAGCATTGCTCTCTCTCTCTCTCTCTCTCTCTCTTCATTCTCTTCATTCGTTGAATTGAATGGTCTGAATTCTTGTTTCAGGCTCTGGATAAGTCTCAGCTCGGGGAAATAATCCGTGGGAAAGACCAGAAACTCGATTCTCCAGGTAATAAACTAAACTGACAGTCACTGTGAAACCTTTGTTCAGACAGACAGTGTAAGAAGGCTGGTATATATACTTTAATGATGTAGTGTTGGAAAACGGAGATAACTGGAGCGTAGGGCAGAGGCAGCTCGTGTCGTTGGGACGAGCATTGCTTAAACAGGCGAGGATTCTTGTTCTGGACGAAGCGACGGCTTCCGTGGACACGGCCACTGATAATCTCATCCAGAAAATCATACGAACGGAGTTCAGAGACTGTACTGTTTGCACCATTGCCCATCGGATCCCCACCGTCATCGACAGTGATCTCGTCCTCGTTCTCTCCGACGGTATACCCTATATCCCTAAAACCTTTCCTCAATTGCCTTCCATCTATCTATATAATATATATATTCATATATACACGTGAATATGTTTTTTTTGCAGGTAGAGTAGCGGAGTTGGATAAACCTGCGAGGCTTCTAGAGGATAAATCATCCATGTTCTTGAGATTGGTGACTGAGTATTCCTCCAGGTCCAGTGGCATTCCCGAATTCTGAAACCCTAGCTCTGCGGATAAACATCTGACCCAGTTCCTGTCGGCGGAGGGAAAGAATGTTCCAAGATTCGTGGACATTGGAGAAAATCGCCCTGTGAAACTTATTCTTGTTTAATAAGGTTCTCTTTTTAGGTTTTAATGTTAGTCTGTTACTTGTTCTACAAGCAATCGGTACAGAGCTAAAACTGTTTTGATCCTCCGAGAACGTAGGGTTTTTAGCCTGCTCTTTATGTTAATGGGCCAAATTATTCGGAGAGTTGGTGTTGATAAAAACGACGCAGTTTCACTCTGTGTACTCGGCCCCCTTTTATCCTGCATAGGCCTTACAGGCTTAACACTAACGGGCTGAACTCTAGCGATGTTAAGAAACGGCTTATTGTTGTTCTTACATAAAACGCTGTCGTTTCTGTCATTAGACAGCCCATTTCTCTCAGTACTCTCAGGCGAATCTCTCTCTCTCTCGTTCTCTCGAAGTCGTAACTGAGGAAGAAGATGCAGGCGGTCTCCAGGAGATTGGCTCATCGGCCGTTCGCCGGCGGAGCTCAGATTTATCCTTCGTCGTATCTCAAATTGCTCTACGAAGTCCCAGATCACTGTTAAGTATCTCCGATTATTTTTTTTTTATTCGATTCAAATTTCTAGGTTGTTCGAATTTCGCGCAAATGAGATATGCTGTTCGTGATTTTGGGTGTTTCTTCTTCTCTGCCGTGATTGTTCCGCAGATCATGGGATTGATGATCGGCGTTACTCGTCTTCCCTCGCTACCAAGGGTATGGGGCACCTCGCCCGCAAGGGTACTGGTGGGAGATCTTCCGTCAGGTATGTTTGCTTCCTGAGAAAATGCTGGAGAAATTCTCTTAGGAAGTTTTTTTTTTCGTATTAGGGTTCGGCCAGTTTTGTCTGCATTTCGTTTTTTAGCTGTTAAATTTCATCAGTTTGAACTGAAGCATCCCGAGAAAGGACGGTTCGAGGTACTGAACTGGATGCAATTGTGGCAAAAAAGAATCAAATGTAGTTTTAGGCAGCTGTAGAACATCAAATTTTTCGAGTTTTATTTGAGCTCTTGGTTTTAAAATGTTTGCTCTTAGTTGAAACTTAAATTGGCATTTGTGTTTGGCAGTGGCATTATAGCTACTGTGTTCGGAGCCACGGGATTTCTTGGCCGTTATCTTGTGCAGCAGCTAGGTGAGTAACGCGCTAATATTTTTTAGTAAAGCAAGCTTCTTTTCCTTTTCATTTTTTTTTCTGAATCATTTGATTATTCGTAATGGGTCTTTCCTCCAGCTAAAATGGGGTCTCAGGTGCTTGTTCCTTTCCGAGGCTCAGAGGATGATCCTCGTCATCTCAAGTTGATGGGTGATTTAGGACAGGTAACCTTTTGCTTGATAATAGTTTTGTTATGTCATGTGTAAGACTTTTAAAGAAGAATATCACCTCTCAGGCCATTAAATCTACTGTATTTTTGCTTCCTCTGTATTTCAGATAGTACCGATGAAATTCAACCCAAGAGATGAAGACTCTATTAAGGCGGTCATGGCTAAGGCTAATGTTGTTATCAATCTCATTGGTAGTTGTTTTTCTCTTGTATTTACGTATGGAATTCCTTAAACCCATGTCATTCTATAACACTGGTTGACATTTTGTTCTCTTCAACAGGAAGAGATTATGAGACCAGAAATTTCAGTTTTGAGGAGGTGAACCATCATATGTCTGAAAAACTTGCAATGGTATGTTCTGAATCCTAACCAGTAGTCTCCAAGTGATCTGGCTGAAAGATTTATCGTTCTTGCTCCTGTCATTGATTCTTTTCCCAAACAGAGGATTTTTGTGGTTTCGTTCATATGCATCATTGCATTGTATGATGGTCCTCCAATGCTTGGTTCATTTCAATTCTTTCTAATTAAATTTGGCTCTGTGAAATGGTTGAATTTTTTCTGTTGTTTCAGTTGGCAAAAGAACATGGTGGTATTATGAGGTTTATTCAAGTTTCTTGCCTTGGAGCTGCGGCAACATCTCCTTCAAGGATGCGAAGGACAAAAGCTGCTGCTGAGGAAGCTATCTTGAAAGTGCTTCCTGAGGTAAAACTCTCTTTATAAATGTCTAAACGCATCACACAGTTTCTTATTGATTGTTGTAGTTGTGACTTGTGAGCCTGACCGTTGAACTCAGAAACCACTCTCTTCTCTGCAACTATCAATACGATATCAGATCCCATCCTTCCTTACCCTTCTTTGTTTGTCTCTGATTATACCTGTGGCATTTTCTTGTGTTTAGCTGAATAACCATATTTGAAATGTTATTAACTTCCGAGCAACAATGGATCTGCCACTGGTTTTATGACCCTTTTCTTGTCAGCTTGTTGTTTCTAAGCTGGTTCCTGATATGTCCCTGTTTCCTAGGCCACAATTATGAGACCTGCGACGATGATCGGTACAGAGGATAAGATTTTGAACCCATGGGCACAGTTTGTTAAAAAATACAGCTTCCTCCCTCTCATAGGTGATGGTACCACCAAGTACGTCTAAAACCCTGCACGCAAGTTTTCTCACTGGTTCATATCAGAAGGACAAAAGCTGCTGCTGAGGAAGCTATCTTGAAAGTGCTTCCTGAGGTAAAACTCTCTTTATAAATGTCTAAACGCATCACACAGTTTCTTATTGATTGTTGTAGTTGTGACTTGTGAGCCTGACCGTTGAACTCAGAAACCACTCTCTTCTCTGCAACTATCAATACGATATCAGATCCCATCCTTCCTTACCCTTCTTTGTTTGTCTCTGATTATACCTGTGGCATTTTCTTGTGTTTAGCTGAATAACCATATTTGAAATGTTATTAACTTCCGAGCAACAATGGATCTGCCACTGGTTTTATGACCCTTTTCTTGTCAGCTTGTTGTTTCTAAGCTGGTTCCTGATATGTCCCTGTTTCCTAGGCCACAATTATGAGACCTGCGACGATGATCGGTACAGAGGATAAGATTTTGAACCCATGGGCACAGTTTGTTAAAAAATACAGCTTCCTCCCTCTCATAGGTGATGGTACCACCAAGTACGTCTAAAACCCTGCATGCAAGTTTTCTCACTGGTTCATATCAGCCCACTTGGATAATTGCATCCAGTTCTTTCCCTAACAAGTCCTTTCCTTTGTTGCAGAATACAGCCCGTATATGTCGTTGATGTTGCTGGTGCAGTTGTTCAAGCTCTGAAGGATGATGGCAGTAGCATGGGGAAAACATACGAGTTGGGTGGTCCAGAGGTCTTTACAATTCATGAGTTGGTAATATTCCTAGATGCTGTTCATCTTTTTTTTTAAATCACTATGGCAGCTGTGTGCCTAACATTCAGGTGGTTCTCGCAGGCTGAACTCATGTTTGATATGATCCGTGAATGGCCTCGGTATGTGAAGGTTCCATTTCCCATTGCCAAGGTAACTATCAAATCGTTCTCCATTTATCATTAGGAGTTTTTTTCTTATGTGAGAGGAACTACCTGAGCTGTGATGATTAAAAAAAAAAAAGAGGATCTTGTTTCCAAGAACAGTTTTAAGTTTTTGGATTCATGCTTTTCGATACATTTTGAACTTGTCATATGTTGTGACACGTTCCAGGTGATGGCGAGTCCACGGGAGGTGCTGCTCAACAAACTCCCATTTCCGCTACCAACTCCCCAAATATTCAATTTAGATCAGATAAATGCCCTTACAACTGATACACTGGTGTCTGGAAATGGTTAGCTCACTCTCTTTGAATCAAATATTACTCTTTGTTAAGCAGAAGTGAAGTGACACGCTACTCTTCGACTGTGGCTGGAATCTCAGCCTTGACGTTTCAGGATTTGGGGATTGCCCCGCATAAATTGAAGGGCTACCCGGTTGAGTATCTTATCCAATATCGCAAAGGCGGTCCCCAATTCGGTTCTACTGTTAGTGAAAAGGTTCCTACAGACTTCTACCCTTGATACTGCTGGGTCAATTCCATATGAATTTTGCATTGAAATAAAAAACTAAAATGGGTATGTTCATGCCTTTTGTTTCCTTCGATCAATAAAAGGACCCGAAAAACAGTGATTACATTATGCTTCTTATAACCATCTAGATTTTTCTTATTTGCATAAAGTGAGACTGTGAGAGATGCGCTGTCCTTCTCCCTTAGGCTCCAAATGCAGTTTCTGGTTTATTCAAACTTCATGTACTAATACTATTTCCTCTTAAGAATTAAGTTCTTTTTTTGAGTTCTGGGTTTGGCATATATGAGTTTCTGGTTTACTTAAAGTGTAGAATATTACACTTTGCTTCGAGCTGTAGAGAAAAGTTAGAGCTTTCAGGAAACCCAAGAAGCAAGAAAAGAACCAATCACAGAGGAGGAACCATACAAATGGAGAGAGAGACATCTGACATGACTCAGACTCGGGGACAGAAGCTTAGCCCGAGATGGAGGATGAAGAAGAATACTCGAGTTCCGAGTCCAGTGGCAATGGCATCAGCTTGAACGGGAGAAACGTTGGTGCAACGATGGTAGCGCCCCGGGAAGTGAGCCTGGCCACGCCGAGTGGTTGCAGGATCAACATATACGTGAACAGCAACGTTCAAGGGGCTTGTACTTCGGCTCTGTTTGGTAGCAAGGTTAAGCTGAGAGATCCTGGTGTTCATCTCTACGTCGGAGACCTTAAAGTCTCCGGCGATGGTGATGGAGGAGGGGAGGTATCTAGACGACAGGAGATGACGTGGATTAAGGTTGGGTTGTGTCTTGTCTTTCTCGTCAATATGATCATAGCCATTGTTCTGCTTCTCTCTTCTTGGTCCAGGTAGAAATTGGGACCTTGATTATATATATATACCATTTGATTGTCCGTGAATATCAACCAAAACTTCATGCAAAGAATCGATGATCATCGCCAAGAGTTATCCTTACAGGGGACCTCTCGCTTTTATAAGTTCTCCCTTTCTTCTGTAATCAAACATGAAAAATCTAATGAGTGACGTTTTCACGAAAACTCGCGTCCCAGCCCTATGATAAGAAAACGGGTCCAAGTTTTTTATGAGAAAAAAAAAGATAATTATGATTAAACTTGTGTATTAATTTGTGAGAACAAACTGTGCCCAATTATTAAATAATGGAATACTAATAGAGAATTATGAAAAGAATATATGGATTAAATTGAATTAGTGGTAATAATAATAATAATAATAATAATAATAATAATAAAATGTAGAAGAGTAAAAAATAAAACTTAGTGGGAATGCACTCTCTTGAATGTCGAGGCTTACTTAATTAGCCCCATGTGGCATTGTCTCTCTATTCATTGGCTCCCTCTAAATCAATGCATCGGGGACAAGCTCCCCCACTCCTTTCATGCCTCTCCCCTCTCTCTTTCACCTCCCCTTAGACCCCCCATTGAAGTATAAATAATCATAGAATAACATACAATGATATTGTTGCACCAAATATTATAAAAGAAACCAAACCCATGTCTCAATTACAAATTAGTCAATATACCAAGTGAATAAAGGAAAGCAATGACTAAAATAATCATGTCAATCATTTATTATATATATATATATACATATCACCTCTAATTAGACCCTTAAGATTTTCTACCATGAATCATTTACTCATCATCTCCATCAGATAGCTAAATGTAAATGCCATACATATAATTAGATTATAAAATTAAAAATTTTAGTGAATTGAATGATGAATGAGACCAAAGGAAATGATTTACCATAAATTCAAGATCTAACTAAGTATTACCCAATAAATTGCTTCCACGTGGATCTCTTTCGAGTAGTTGCACGCTACGAGTGGAGTCCCAGATCACGAAAGGCCCCATGACGTCACCCACAAATCGAAACCGACATGTCAGCACGAAAAGAGATCCTACGTGGCAATCTCCCACCGGTCACCGACACCAGAAAAACTGGCGGCGCAAATTTAGCAGGCCGTCTAACGTGCGCCTCTCCCCGACGCGCTCTCCTTATACCCTCTCCCTCTCTCTCTCTGAGACCAGCTCAAACCCAGTCAAAGGCCCTCGATCTTGTCCTAGCATGTGAATCCCTTCAGGCTTCTCCAGATCATTCGAAGGATCCCAAGTGATACAGCTGTTTCTTTTGTAGTCTATCCCTGGATCCTTGTCGGTATAGTTCTGCATCCTTAAATCTGCATGATTTACCTTAGTTTCGATCAACGTTTTGAGTTTTCCTGTTTCCAAGTTACGATTTAGCTTCGATTACTTCGATCTCGTGCTTGAATCTGGTTTCTCGCTTCGCTAGCAGCTGAAAAGGGGTTGGAACTTAGGGTTTCCAGATTAGGAATTGTGTTTTTTGGTATCGATGTTGTGATCTGGTACCTTGTGTGATACCGGGGATTTCTATGAGACGCCGGTCGGGGGGAGTTGTTCCCACAGAGCCAATGGAGAAGGGAAATGGGAAGAATCATAACAACAGGATTTGTCTTTTGGCGGCTTTATCGGTTTTCTTCTGGGCAGTGTTGTTGTACTTCCATTTTGTTGTCTTAGGAAGCAGTAGTATTGACGAACAAAACCAGTTACAACCCAGCTATGCCCAAAACGAACCATCGATCTCTCTTCGAGTAGATAAGTTCCTTCCTCCTCCTGAACCTAAAACCAAAACCATCCACCCTCCCACAGAATCTTTAAATGGTACGGTTGGATCTAATCTTCCTCCTGTCCTAGTATCCGACACTGATTCTGGTTCAACCGTTAAGCTGCCTAAGATTGGAGAGATCGATGTCCCTAAGGAACAGGGCTTTCCATTTATGAAGGCGTTGAGGACAGCAGACAATAAGAGCGACCCTTGTGGGGGGAAGTACATCTATGTTCACGATCTGCCCTCGAGGTTCAATGAGGATATGCTTAGAGACTGTAAAAAGCTTAGCCTCTGGACTAACATGTGCAAGTTCATGACGAATGCGGGGTTAGGTCCTCCACTCGAGAATGTTGAGGGGGTGTTCTCGAATACTGGGTGGTATGCAACGAATCAGTTTGCCGTTGATGTGATATTCAGCAACAGAATGAAGCAGTACGAATGCTTGACGAATGATTCTTCCATTGCTGCTGCCATCTTTGTGCCGTTTTATGCAGGGTTCGACATTGCTAGGTACCTCTGGGGGTACAATATCTCGACGAGGGATGCTGCATCGCTCGAGTTGGTGGATTGGCTCATGAAACGGCCTGAATGGGAGATAATGAAAGGGAAGGATCATTTTCTCGTGGCAGGTCGTATAACATGGGATTTTAGGAGATTGTCCGATGAAGAATCCGACTGGGGCAACAAGCTTCTCTTCTTACCGGCTGCCAAGAACATGTCTATGCTCGTTGTTGAATCGAGCCCATGGAATGCAAATGATTTCGGCATCCCATACCCGACCTACTTTCACCCGGCCAAGGACTCTGATGTGTTTGATTGGCAAGAACGGATGAGAAACCTGGAGAGAAAATGGCTGTTCTCATTCGCTGGAGCCCCACGTCCTGACAACCCAAAGTCCATCCGGGGGCAGATCATCGATCAGTGCCGGAACTCAAAAGTCTGTAAACTTTTGGAGTGTGATTTTGGAGAGAGTAAGTGTCATTCTCCGAGTAGCATTATGCAGATGTTTCAGAGTTCACTATTCTGTCTGCAACCCCAGGGTGACTCATACACCCGGAGATCGGCTTTTGACTCGATGCTGGCCGGCTGCATACCCGTCTTCTTCCATCCCGGCTCGGCCTACACCCAGTACACGTGGCATCTCCCGAAGAACTACACGACCTACTCGGTTTTCATCCCAGAGGACGATATCCGAAAGAGAAACATGACCATCGAGGAACGTCTCCTCCAGATTCCCCCGGAGCAGGTCAAGATAATGAGAGAGACAGTGATCAGCCTCATCCCAAGGCTGATATACGCGGACCCGAGATCGAAACTGGAGACGCTGAAGGATGCATTCAATGTGGCGGTGCAGGCTGTGATCGACAAGGTGACACGGCTGAGGAAGAACATGATCGAGGGCCGGACTGAGTACGATAACTTCATCGAGGAGAACAGCTGGAAATACGAGTTGCTGGAGGAAGGACAGCGAGAAGTCGGGGGCCACGAGTGGGACCCATTCTTCTCGAAGGCCAAGGATGAAAAAGACAGCGGTGGTGGCCGGACAGCTTCCTCCGCCGAGGCCGCCAAGAATTCGTGGAAGAGCGAACAGAGAGACAAGTCATGATACATTTCACAACAGCTTGAGAGATAGTTTTTGAGTTATTTATACAACAGCAACAACAAAAAATGAATTTTTGTTTCTTGTAATGCGTCGTCTGTAGTTTCTGGAGTTTCATGTAACGAGTTTGTTTACAGATTCACATCGACATACAGAAATGGTGGTTGAGTCCATTGCTAAAGATGATTTTCGATTATGTAGAGAACCTAATCTAAAGATTCCGGCTTTGACAAATAAATTTCTATAATATTCGAGGGCTTTTAATGAATATTTACCGAAAAGATTTTGAGAAATTGGATTAGAATCTCTGATTCCATGGTCAAAAGAGGAAAAAAAAAAGATCAGTTCTTGACGAACTGCAAGCCGTTCTGGTTGGAGTAACGTTCCATGAACCTCATGAACCTGTCCCAATCCTTGGGAGTCCTCATGACGTGCCTAGCCACCACCCCGGCCGGCTTCCCGTTCACAAACTTTGCGTTCACGTCCGTAGATTGAATAACGCCTTCCTCATCGATCATGTACAATCCCGTTATCTCACCCACCTCGCTCGACGAGTCAAACACCGACGGCTGCTCGAATGTGAACGTGGCCACTCCGTTTGTTCCGTCCCTTGACCTCGTTAGCCTCACGTCAGGTATCGTCATCTCGTCCGTTCCCTGTATAAACTGCAACGTCGGCTTCACCATCATTCTTATCCTCCCGAGTTTTGTCCTTTTCGGACATATCCCTTCCGGTCTGGTCTTGGAGAGGTAAACGGACGTACCAGTGAAGGACGGCCGTGTGATCTGATGAGCTAAGCTTGAAGATATAACAATGCCTGCCAAAGGACATGTGGAAATCAGACTAAAAAGAGAGAGCCGCCACAAACCTAAAAAAAAAAAAAAAAAAAAAAAAACCTCATCCCCAATTTGGTTCAACGCACTCAGCCAATGAAATTGTGGGTTCAGAATCTAACGTATCTGAATTGCATGTTATTTGAATACAAGAGATACATTCAAGCCATTCAACTGATACGCAATTTACAGAATGATACCCAGTGAACTCAGGATCTTAACCAGCTTCAACCGGGGAAATCGTGATTTATCACCTCTGGTTTGTTGTTCGTGGCAGATAAAGGAACCAATCGTCAATCAACAGAGAACTGACATTTCTTCCGTAACAAACCGAATCAACCTACATGAAATCGGGAGCACAAATTTCCGCTCCAATTTCACATTGCAGAGCCGAAAACAAGATATTCTACGAAAATCAGGAAGAGGAAGGAGCGCGAATCGGAGTACCTGAGCGCGGAACCTGTCGAGGACAACGTGAGACGGGAAGTAGAGTCCCTAGCGACCGAACAGAAGCCATTGTCGTCGTGTGTATGGGTAGCAAGATTTAGGCAGAGAGACCAGAGCCCATGAAGAAGAAGTAGAAGAAGACTCTGGTGTGGTGGCGGGAGATCGTGACGTGTCGCCACCGCAACCGCTCCTTCTTCGGCGACCGTTATCGGCTCGCCAGGAATCCAAACATAGCCACGTTGAAATGTCTCGCTACGTGGGCTTTTATTAGGCCCAAATTTGAAACATGGCCCATAATTCAGAAGCCCGTTCGCCCCGTTAGGAAAGTGGGTCCCACAATTCCCACGTGTCACATGGGATGGAGATCGTGGGGAGAGAAAAGCTGGTTTCAGGTCTGTGACACTTGAACAAGGCCCATGTGGGGCGCGTCAGCATACGTGTTAGTTGTTAATTAAAGTAATCGATTTAATTAATTAATTAATTAATTATTGTACAAAAATAGATCTTACATCTATAGTCCACATTAGTGATTAGTGAATAGATAACTAAACCATTGCCTTGCGTTTTTATGTACTTAGCGGTAGGTTTTCGGTCTCTCTCTCTAATAATACAATGACTAGTAAGTGCTAATCCACATGCATCCCATTAATCCCCAAGTGCTCTCAATTACTCGGGCCTGTTTTTTTTTATTTAAAAAAACAGCCTATTTGTGGATATGTACATTTTATTATTTACGTCATTTGCACAATCCAAATACTCATATTTTTACTTCAAAATTATTATTTTCTCGAAAAAAATAAAAGAGAGATGTACCCCTTTGATCGTGTAGAGAGCATGTTTCTTGAGTTATATTATCTATGTACATAATTAATAAAAAAAAAAAAGTGGGGGGAGAAAGCAAGGAAAAGACTGGTCCACGTGAGCTGCATGTGGAGAAACAGGTTCTGTACAGTTCTATACGTATATGTTATTGTATTTGTAAGGACAGAAAGAGGAGTGGGTAGTAAATGTCGGGCTCGTTCCCTAATTCGCCTGATGATTTTTTATTTGTGTGTGCACCTTTCCCCCATTTTCTTCTAATCATTTAATTTATTTACATATATGTATATACATATGCCATTTAACTTTTATGATTTTATCCATAAGAAGTTAAAGTTTTATCCCAACACTAAATAAGGTAGATATTTACCTCTACTGTTCCCTGAAAATTTGTTAGAATATAGGCAATCGAAATTCACGTATAATAATGTGTAAACATACAGACACTTGATTCCAAAGATTCATACATTCATATGTTGGAAATTTATAAATTTATATTTAGGTTCCGTGGATTCTTTTTTACTCGGAAAGGGCAGGTAGATGCGCACTTTTACGCAGTAAAAAGAAGTAATGTTTTTTCACATAAAATAATTACACTGAATTTTGGTTTCCTTCAAATATAAAAGGTTATAGCCAACTCGGTTTGAGATTTTGCATATATACGGTGCGTCATGCTATATAATTTAATCATATCATTAGTACTTTTGGCTGAATTAATTTGGGCCCTTTAATCTGAGAAATGGTGAGAATCCTTGATCTCTGAATATTTGGATCAAGAGAATGGAAAACAAAAAACAATAGCTACTCAAGCGTAGTGGGAGTGATTTAAATATATGATAAATTAATCTAGTGATATTTTTTTTATATGGGTAATTATGCTGCTATATTATGGAACTGTAACATGCAAAGATTCTCATATGCTCAATCATGCAATTCAATAAATATGATAATATACATACATATATATATATATATATCTTGCTTCGTAACCTTTTTTTAATAATTTAAAAGAAGAATTATGATAAGGTATATGATGGTGATGAGGTATGTTTTTGTTTTATAACCAATGTTTAGAGAAAGAAAACGTTAAAATTTTTCAAAAGAGTAAAAACAATGTGGAATAGATATAAGGAGTGAGGGTCATCCCACGTAACGTTATTTTTTTATCTTTATTTTTGGACTTATATGTATGAAATTAAACATGACGAGAAGTGCTAATGATCACATGTGCATCGCCATTCATTCATTCATTCACCATTCTTATGCTCTTACATATATATATATATATATATATAAATGTGTATGGAGGGGTAATTTTTATGTCTAATAATAAGCTCATATATATATATATATATGAAATGAATGCGTATGTATTGACTTTTTCATGTATAGTTTGGCATGTTTAACATGCACACATACAACGCTTATGATGATATGTATTTTTTTGATGTAATAATCTTAGAAGGCAAGCATCAAAAGAAGACATTCTCCTCCAAAAAGCTGAAATGCAAACAAGTTAAGCTTACGCTATCCCCCTTAATCATCATTAATTTATCCATGTATTAATTCACCGTCTCTGTCTATATATATACATATATATATGTATATATGTATACACACATATATATAATATGAATTATCCATCGATCTTATGGTTGGTTTAGAATTGGATGGAGAGATTGATTATGTATTAAACTAATACGAATAGAAACGTGGACAGCAAAGCAAAGAAGAAGATGCGCTTCACTCGCACCAAAACGCACTTTAATTGACTCCAAATTTTAACAAATTTTGGATTAGTTGTAGTAAGAATCCACCATGCATGTTTTTTCTTGTCTTATTGAAATCTCCATTAGCTACATCTCTCTCTCTCTCTCAAAACCTCCCCTAGAACCAATATTTATATGACTTTTTTCAAATTAATGATAGATTTTTACGGTAGAATTTTTTTAATAAGTTGAATAGTTGATATTTTTTTTTTCAAAATTAATAGTTCATGAATTTTTATAACAAAATGAAAAGTTTTTTAAATAAATTATACGGTTAAAGTTTTTAAAAAAATTAATAGTGGGTGGATTTTTATAATAAATTTAAATATTTTGAAAACAAAATAAATAGTTGATGATTTTATTTAGTTTATTACCAATTTTAATACACCGAACAAAATTTTGGATTGATAGAGAACGACTAAAAAATATCTCTGAGACATCATTAATACCAAACACCTCCATCTCCTTCTGTAATTTCCATTTTTAACATTAAGATTCATTTCCACTCGCTATACATTATATACATACGTATACATACGTTGCGTATAATAATTTTATATAATATCCAGCAGCTACACAACGAACCGTTCTTCTTCTACCTCACTCTCTTGCATGTTCGCTTGACTCTGACAAGGGAGATGAACTGAAGAGAGACACATCTCTGCAGAGGCTGATGAGACTGAGGATTTCAAGATGGAGTTGCGGTTTTTCACCAAGATTCTACTTCTGTTCCTCTGTTACAGTTACATTGGTTCTGCTTCCAACAACGACGATGAACTTTCCGTTTTGCTTTCCATGAAATCCGCTCTCGTCGACTCTCTGGGCAACCTCAAAGACTGGAAGCTTCCAGAAACTTCGGTTCCCAATATCCACTGCAACTGGACTGGAGTCTGGTGCAACTCCAATGGCAATGTGGAGAAGCTCGACCTCTCCCGCATGAATCTGACCGGCAGATTCTCTGATTCAGTCGGACAGCTTCGGAGCCTTGTCTCTCTCAACATCTCATGCAATGATTTCAACTCCACCCTCCCGAGATTTCTTCCTCCTCTGCAATTCTTAGACATCAGCCAGAATTCATTCGATGGAAGTCTATTTACACTGAGTAACCAATCAGTTGGGCTCGTTCATCTCAACGCTTCCGGGAACAATCTCTCGGGGAATCTCCCGGAGGAAATCGGGAGCCTTGTCTCTTTAGAAGTTCTTGATCTCCGGGGGAATTTCTTTCAAGGATCCATTCCAAATTCCGTCAAGAATCTGCAGAAGCTCAGGTTTCTCGGATTATCCGGCAACAACCTCACCGGGAAGTTGCCAGCCGAGATGGGCGAGCTTTCCTCTCTGGAAAGCGCGATTCTTGGGTACAACGAGTTCGAGGGTTCGATTCCACCGGAGTTCGGGAACATGTCCAGTCTCAGGTACCTTGATTTGGCCATCGGAAAGCTCAGTGGCAAGATTCCATCGGAGCTGGGACAGCTCAAGACGCTGGAGACACTTCTCTTGTATCAGAACAACTTCACCGGCAATATTCCGGCAGAAATCAGCAACATGACTTCCCTCAAGGTTCTTGATCTCTCCGACAACTCGTTATCCGGCGAGATCCCCCATGAGATAGCAGACCTGAACAATTTGCAGCTCCTGAATCTGATGTGCAATGATCTTTCCGGCTCTGTTCCTCCCAGTATCAGCAGCCTTACGCAGTTGCAGGTTCTCGAGCTCTGGAACAACTCCTTCTCCGGCGAGTTGCCGGGTGATCTGGGCAAGAATTCTCCGTTACAGTGGCTTGATGTTTCGTCAAACGCGTTCTCCGGCGAGATTCCTCTGACGCTGTGCAGCAATGGAAGTCTGACGAAGCTCATCCTGTTCAACAACGCCTTCTCCGGTCAGATTCCGGCGACTATGTCAAGTTGTCGGTCTCTGGTTCGCGTCAGAATGCAGAACAATCTGCTCACCGGATCGATCCCTATTGGTTTCGGCAAGCTTGAGAAGCTCCAGAGGCTCGAAGTAGCTGGTAATCGCCTCGCCGGAGCCATCCCTGGTGATATCTCGGATTCAAATTCGCTTTCGTTCATTGATTTCTCTAGAAATCAGATGCGCTCGTCCCTACCTTCCACGATTCTCTCGATTCGGAGTCTCCAGGTGTTTTTGGCTTCCGACAACTTCCTCTCCGGTGAAATTCCCGACCAGTTCCAGGATTGTCCCTCGCTTACGAAACTCGATCTCTCCTCCAACCGTCTTATCGGAACCATCCCATCCAGCATCGCTTCCTGCGAGAAGCTCGTGACCTTAAACCTGAGGAACAACCAACTCACCGGGGAGATCCCGAGACAGATCACGACGATGTCGGCCTTAGCCGTGCTCGATCTGTCCAACAATTCCTTTACCGGAGGAATCCCGGAGAGTATTGGAACTTCGCCGGCACTCGAAGTTCTGAACGTTTCGTACAACAAGCTCGAGGGTCTGGTCCCGATGAATGGCTTTCTCAGAACGATAAACCCCGACGATCTCCGTGGAAATCCCGGTCTCTGCGGCGGCGTTCTTCCGCCATGCAGCCGGCTCGCGGCGATGTCGAGGAACGGGAGTCTCCATGGAAAACGCATCGTCGCGGGATGGTTGATCGGGATCTCATCGGTTCTAGCCCTCGGGATTCTCGCCATCGCCGCGAGATCTCTGTACAAGAGACGGTATTCCAACGGATTCTGTGCCGACGGGACGGCGAGTAAGGACGAATGGCCATGGAGATTAATGGCGTTCCAGAGGCTAGGATTCACAGCTTCCGATATCCTCGCCTGCATCAGAGAATCAAACATGATCGGAATGGGAGCCACCGGTATCGTGTACAAAGCCGAGATGCCGCGGTCAAGCACGGTAGTCGCAGTGAAGAAACTGTGGAGATCCGCCGCCGACATCGAGGCGGGAACTACCGGAGATTTCGTCGGAGAAGTGAATCTCCTGGGAAAACTCCGTCACAGGAACATCGTGAGGCTCCTGGGGTCTCTGTACAATGACAAGAACATGATGATCGTGTACGAGTACATGCACAACGGAAATCTCGGCGACGCGCTTCACGGCAAACAATCCGCCGGGAGTTTGCTCGTCGATTGGGTTTCCCGGTACAACATCGCCGTCGGCATCGCTCAAGGCCTGGCATATCTCCACCATGACTGTCACCCTCCGGTGATCCACAGAGACATCAAATCCAACAACATCTTGCTCGATGCCAATCTCGAAGCTCGAATAGCCGATTTCGGCTTGGCCAGGATGATGGCGAGGAAGAAGGAGACGGTCTCCATGGTCGCCGGTTCGTACGGCTACATCGCTCCCGGTAAGACACAAAACCGGAACTTCTCCGGTTCGATTTGATTAACGGAATTGTGATCTGGACCGGTTACGATGCTCTGTTTTTTTGACGTATGAAACTGCAGAGTACGGATACACCCTGAAGGTGGATGAGAAGATAGACATATACAGCTATGGCGTCGTACTGTTGGAGCTTTTGACCGGAAAGAAGCCATTAGAGTCGGAGTTTGGAGAATCAGTGGACATCGTGGAATGGGTCAGAAGGAAGATCAGAGACAACAGACCACTCGAAGAGACATTAGACCCTAATGTCGGAAACTGCAGACATGTTCAAGAAGAGATGATCTTAGTTCTGAAAATCGCGCTTCTCTGCACTGCTAAGCTCCCAAAGGACAGACCCTCCATGAGAGATGCGATAACGATGCTGGCAGAGGCCAAACCCAGGAGAAAAAGCAGCAGCAACGGCGAGAACACAAACGGTAACGAGAAGGAAACAGCACCAGTTGTTAACGCTTCCCCTGTAAATGGCCTTCTGTAGGATGTTCTAACAGATTTGTTAAAAGGCCACTCAACTATTGATTCGTTTGATTCATGCTATGTATGTAGAAGCTAAATTCAGAGCTTGTCCTTTTTCCCCAGGTGGTATATAACCTTCTTCAGATATGTTTTTTTAACTCTTTGAAGAGTGAAGTGTACCTGCAAGAAGAAATAGACAGTAATGGCGGAAACAATGCAGAAATCAGACAGTCTTCACACATACACATATACATGGACACACACATAACATAACACAACCAACCATCTCTGTATGTGTGTTTACGTGTGTGAATTACAAGCAAAATCTCGAGTTCTATTATAGTTCTCCACGAGGAGGTGATGTACAGTGTGTATACTCCACAGAAGACATGGATTAGGATGAACCAAAAAAAAACATGTAATAACTGAAGTGCCGAGCTGAAACTGTAGGGCAAGACGCTTCACGTGTTTTGTCTTCGCTCCGTTTTATACTTTTATTAGGCTCCAAGTTAATAAAAAAAACCGTTCCAAAATAGGTTCATGAGATCATTTGAGCTGAAAAACAAGGATTTGACAATGGTTACAATAACAAATTGTGGCAAATAGCATAATGAGGGGGGGGGGGGGTATGTTGTTTCTTGGAATGAAAGAGCCCTCCGCCTGAGCACGCAGGTTTGGTGGCACAGCTTCTTCTCCAGAATACAGAAGATAAACAGCGAATTCTTTCTGGATACGTGCCATGGTTTCTGGATTGAGCCTCCAATGGCTGAGCAATGCTCGTCTGTACGATAAAATCGCTTCACGGGGAGAATCTGCAAGTTTCCACAGCTCGGGGAGCAGCTCGACGGCTTTTGTTAGAGTCTCCGGCAATTTGCTGTCCCCAGCAGCTACATTTTCGGGCAATCCTTCCGGAAAAGAAGACTCGACTATATCTAGAATAACTCTGCAAGACTGTGCGGCTTCTGCGAGAATCACAAGGGCCGTGAATTAGCCATACAGATCTATAAAAAATTTGACGGAATATTTCTTTTGAGAGGAGGAAAAATGACGTACCTTCAAATCGATCAAGGCGCTGGAGACATTTTGCTTTAGGTTGATTCAGCTTCTAGCCTTACCTGTCCCAGTGGCTTCTGATGTTCTCATTATCCGTAACCTCCTCACAGAGGTAAGAAACATCCTGGAAACGGTTTCAGAAGTTAAAAATGGGTTCAGGGTCTGGAGTTTTCAGGGTCCATAAACTATGGATAACAAGTTTTCAACTTTGAGATGATCGGAATATAGAACATAGCATGACATGCGCAAATATACATACATACCCCCATGGTACATCACCGACAAGCATCCAGTCTCCCTCCTTGTCCTCGTAGGTTAGCACGAAACCAGACGCCCCATCTAGCAGTTTCCTTGTCCGTGTTTCCGCGTGGCCGTCATCATTTTCTCCTACGCTCGATCCTGATTGAACAAAAACCGACCTTCTGAGAATGGTGCATGTCAATTTACTCTTAGAAAGCCTCGTGAAAATAAGCAAAAGAGACTGGAAATTTGCAGAGGCACCTGCTGATGGTTTCAGAAACATTTCCTCCAGTGTCTTTGACAATGACTCGTACGACCTATGAGCATTCAGATCGATTTTTCTTCCGATGGGAATTCCGTCCATAGCCACCTTCACAAACATTGAGTTTCTGATCTTCCCATTGCTTATGGCAACCGTTCTGTTCTTGTTTATGTTCTTGCCAGTCTCTGGATTCAGCTCTCCAATGGCTAATGTCCTAGATTGGTTAACCATGCTGTTCATCCTGTAAGTTCTAATCGGCGGCCACCCCACAACTTGCCTGTGATTTCATGTTTCAAGGTTTCAAAAGCTCAACAGAGAATCATGGCAATGATTAAATCACTTGAAACTGTGAACTGTTATTCACAGGACAGGCTCAGACCACAACTCAAAACACATTACATAAAACAACAGCATAAACATCAAACAACATAAAATTCTCCAAGATACATGTTTTAGGGACCGATGTAGCTTTTTCTCCAATAAACATATGCTCTCCGATGGAAATTTACAGAGACACACGACAAAGGAATATATCCAGATAACCACAAAGATACTGTCTTATATAATCCCAGAAAACATGAGTTCTCGTGTGATTATATGGCTAACCATAATCATGAGAAATTCCCAGATGAACATGATCAAAACAAAGTTTTATACAATGATATAGACAAAGTCACAAAGCATCCGCAATCATCTATTCTTGGCTATTATGAGGATAAGTATCTATCTAGTCTCCGGCAAAAAAAAAACATGTAATCATGTAAAATTTTTAGGTAACCATGATTGAAAGGACACACAGTTCTAGCCTATGATCCTACTGATGATCATAATAACATGAAAACTTCCAGATAATTACGATCCAAGTAAGGCTCTCAAATCCCAAATAAACAGGTAGACCTCGTAAACTCTGCATTCTAGAGATTATCATATACAATCTCCAGCGTATACCGCATAATACCATGGAATTTCCAGTCTAACAAAGATAATTCTTCCATAATCAAATACCTAGAAATCTACAGATACACATCAACCCTCAAGCATTAAACACATAACTACTCAGAGTTTCAAGAACACGGGAGAAAAGCTTTTGTCTTTTAGAGAAATGGATCTAACCCATTAGTCACGGCCATTGAATCAGCTGTCCTCTTGATGCCAGCCGTCGCGCTAGCTCTGCTCAAGGAAGAAGATGAAGAAGAACAATCCTCAGAGCACGAACCCCCAGAATCTCGCTGGCCCTTCGGACCGAGGCTCAACGTGAGACCGAGCTCTATCTCGGTCTCCACCGGACAAGATGAATCCTCGTAAGAAACGACGAAATTGTCATCGTCCGACACCGTCAACGCCGACCCACTCGCGGAAGCGCCTTCCATCCGAGAAATCCGCTTCGGAGGATCCGGACCCAGATGCTGTTAGTCACAGAAAATCTCAGAGAGGATTCGATTCTCTGCAAGGGAAGAAGAGATGGGTTGAATTTGACGTAAAGTTTTCGACTTTAAGTAGCCAAATAGTGAGGAAGAATTTCACGGGGGAACAAATGATGAACAAGAAGACATTACGGGTGGGATTTGTCCCTTTTTTTTTTTCCCCCGCTACAATTTGTCCCCTTATTCCTTTTTTTGGATGCTTAGCACCAAATAAAAAAAAGTCTATTATTCCAATAAAATTGATATCAATATAAATAATAAACTAAAAAAAAGCCGGAAATAGTCAATTTTATCTCGAAAAATATATGCTTATAAATGTATCACAAAATCAAATTTAAAAATTAATATTATGCACGATCATAAACAAATTTAGAAATTACCGTGTTAAAAAAATATAAATTCGAGAATAAATAGCCGAATTTATTAGTAAATAAACTAAAAAGACTGGTGTTTTCAATCACAGAAATAATCAACTTGGTATTTCTCATGTTCAAATTCCACCTCGACCAAATATTATAAAATTTTTTTTTGGCAAATCTGGTGGTTAAATCATAATTCATTTTTCTTGTGGGGTGATTTATGGATGATTTGACTTTTGATTCGACACAATACCGTATCGCTTGGAAAAGAAAAGGACACAACAGCCACGAGTTTTTCATATCGTATAATGCGTTTTAGCAATGTTTATTTTGTGTATTTGGAAAATAGAATCGACAACGGTTGGATCCGTGAGATATAATAAATAGACCAAACATCATGGGCCCCACGTAAAAAGGGAGGAACTCACGATCACCCATTTCCCAAATCTGACGGTTGTACGTGAATCCAACTAAACTCTAGATTTCAACCTACTAAACAACAATTATCACAATTAATTATAGTCTAATCTAAATCTAATCTCAGTAATCAATTAAGTGTTAAAGCATCCCTTTTTTTAGGTGCTGTCCGAATAAAAGACCATGTCGTCTGGATGGAAGACATCTATAGCCCACCGTTGGTCCGTTGCTACCAATTAAAACCAAACAATTCGCAGAGGGCCCCACTAGGGTATAAGATTCGGTACAGCGTGCTACACCGCAAAATATCTTCAGACGTATACCCCACGTAGGCGTCCGAACTTTGCCGTATTTTCGACACGTGGCGCCGCCAGCGGTAATTGTTTAACCGGATGACACGTTTGGTACTAACCGGTATCGTATCGTATCGTATCGTACCGTACCGTACCTAACTGGGAAAAGGTTGAAAGTGGAACCGAGCATTTTCCCATAACCCATACAAAGGCAGCATACAAATGAGGATTATTACAGAGTCCAGTCACTGACAAGAAGAAACCAGCCGTTGTGTATACGCGCCCATGGAGAGAGTATTATGACCTGAGAATAATAACACCACCCAAGTTTCGTTGGCAAGACTGAAAGAATGAATGAACTCAAACTGAACAGAACTTCTTTCTTTAGATCTTCTTCGGTTCTTGTGGTACGGAAAGTTTGCAATCCGTACATGCAGAAGGGGAGACAGCAGCATCAGAGACATTGATTCTCATGGTTTGGTCAGGTCCCTCTTTTGAAGGGACGTGAACAAGTGCGTCCATGATCAGAATCTCCCATTCCCTCTGCCTCAAAAACGCCATGAACCCATCCTCTGCTCCACCCAAACCGAAAAAGAAAGTTGGAATTAAGATTCACACGAGAGAGAATAACAGATTCGGCATGAGAAACCCAACCACAGTTGTGTTAAATACTACTGATGGAGATGCTGAGGTTGAGATGCTCAGATTGACTTACTTTTGTAATGATTTTTTAATTCATCAGAATGTTTCCTTGATCATTTTCATTAGATAGAGAGGGGACAAAAATTTCACTTGCAGTGAATGGAGTGGAGGCCAAAGTATCGAGAAAAATACCTCCACTGCGGACAGCTTTCAGATGCAAGATTCCGCTGCCTTGTGGTCCATTCACTGGAAATGAACAAGACACCGAGTGTCTATTCTGTGCAACAGCTAGCGTTGCGTTGTACCACGATCCCTTCTTGATGGGCTCTCCTATTGCGTCAATTATGGCCTGATTCTTCATCACTTTCTCCATTGCCTTGCTAAAATATCCACCAGGCAAAGAGTTGAACAGACAACAACAGAGAATCCCATTCAGAAAACGAAACAGAGCCCCAAAAAATAACTAAAATCAATCTGTGGAACAATTATTGAAATCCTGTTTCACTATCATCTTTGGCTCAATGTAAATATTACAGATAACATGAACTACATGAAGAAACAAATACAGAAAACTTTGCACAGCATGGGGCGGCAATGAGTAAACGGCCAAAAGAAGAACATAATGGATATTCCAGTAGCTAGTTAAATCCCATTGTGCGTGAGAAGGATCAGTGTGAAGATCACGTTTGTATATGGGAGACCAAAAAATCATGTGTGTGGGGGGGGGGGGGG